AGTTGTTGGGCCATATTGAATCTGTTATAAACTCTTGTAATTTTTTTTTTTTGGGGGGGTGGGAAATTAAATCTTTTTTTATGGTGTGGAGTACAATGTGTACAACAATCCCAAGTACTGAAAATATAAAGTTTTTATTCATTTATGCAGTTTAAGAGAAATCATGTGAATGATGACTTTGTAACATTTATTTCTTGTACATGCATGATTAGGTCAAATGTAGACAGTTTCAATCAGATTCCCCCCCCCTCCAACCGGTGGAGGATTTCTTATCAACCAAAGACATTTAGCCCTCCTCCTAAACAGGCATATTAGCCCTTATCCACTCCCATTTGGCCCTGTCGTTGTCCATTCAACCCCTCTTGCATTCAAATCTTGATTCGATTTATTCCCAGCACAGGACAGTCAGTCCTTGGATAATTCAATAATACTGCCGCCTGAGCAAACAAAATGGCTTCTTGGTGCAGTTAGGAACAGGTGACGGCGTTAGACCTGGAAGGATGAAAACAGTTTCCTCTTTTAGAGAAACTGAGCCTCTTTTAGTTTGGATCTGGAAAAAAAATTTCAGAAAGGTAAAAATATACAGTGTACAGAGAGAAGAAAGAGACAGCATGATTTATTGCTTTTTATTGGTCACTGGTCAGATTTTGAAGGAAAATTACAACTTTTTTCTTAAACAGTAACCCATTTAAATTTTCAAAATGCACACTGTAGCTGTCACAAGCCTTTAGTAGTCACCAACATGGGTCTTTCCTCAAAAGAAATTTTAAAAAGCACAATGGTATTTGCAGTTGCCTTCTTTCTTTGAAACTTTGTTTCTGCAAATGAGATATTTCTGTAAAAATTATCAACATAAAAATACATATGTCCAAGCTGTTATCCTTAATCTTTGAAGCTTTTAGCTGTAAGTGTGAAAGGGCGGAACTGTCATTGGAAGATAATTCAATAAATGTACTAAGTATCAAGAGATGACATATAAGCCCAATGGTCAAGTGGCTACATGTACAGGTGTATGTCTGTTTGATGACAGAGGTTAATGGCTCTGTAATTTGACAGCTGTGGACAATCTGGTGTCAGTTTGAACTCTGTAAACTGTGTGCAGTGATCCAGTAAAAGAAAAATCTGTTCATTTGTTGGAAATAGGTTTGCTTAAAGAGCACCCCTAAGGCAAACACTGCATTCAATTTTGTTGCTTCCTTATTTATTTGAACAGATTAAATCAGACACAAAGTATTTTCCTTAGAGGTGCTCTGTAAAATTGTCAGGCCTATGCAATGCTTAAACCAACCTTGGCATGTGACTGCAGGATGCACACAGAACCTGTGATGTACATGTACATGTACTGAAGGTGTACATGTACTGTACTAGTAGTAGTTACAAATTTGAAAATGACAAGAATTTGAGACTGCCAATTTTTTCTCCAGTTGCTACATGTTTTGCAGTGCTTCACAGCCATCTATCTACATGTACATGTACATGTACATACACATGTATTTACATGTACTTGGCCGGTGTACATGTACATATTTGTGTATGACATACGAACCTATAGTGTTTACAGACACTGGCAATGTTGGTCCGTCTGAAGTAGTAAAGATGGACTTGTAATGGGAAGGGGAGAAGTCAAATTTGTCAACCATCATTATGAGCCAGTAGATCAGCTTGATGTTATCGCTGTGACTGGCAAATATTAGCTCATGAAATGGTATGAAATGGGCTCTCTAAACTCCAATCTGTATCATCTTTCAGTCGTCTGCCTGTAAAGTACGCCATCCAATTAGATGATACTGAAAGTACAGGTGCTGGAGTGAAATGCTGTCATCCTACTGATCACTTCCGGTCCTCGATTAATTTAAATGAAAAAGTTCTGACAGCAGCCCTATTATCCATTAACTACTTATTAATATTCATGGGCGGTGATTCAGATTGCTTTAATTGAATTATTCAGTGTTCATTAAAGGAATCCTGGCAGGTGTAATCATCATCAATTACTCCGTCAAGGTCGCACTGTGGCAAGTATTGACTGATGAGACTACTCTTTATGACAACACAAAAACGTGCCTACATGTGCAAAATTATCTTTGGTGACATTAATTTGTTGCTGTTGTTCTCAAGAACAGCAAGAAAAACAATTCAGAGGAAGATGTACAAATGTAAAGTTCTGAAGTCTTGAAAATACTTCATTGATGCCTATATGTTCACACTGTCTTGTTTATGTTTGAAAGATGACATCAGTTGGTTTCATTAACAATGCATTTCAAGAGCACCTCTAAGGAAAACACATTTTCTCTGATTTTATCTGTTCAAATAAATATGGAAGCATCGAAATCGAATGCAGTGTCATTTGTTTTCAGAGCTCAACTAAAATAAGATTAAAAGGGTTTTTTTTCTGTTCATGCCAAGATGCGAATTCTGAATGTAGATTGCGTTATTCTGAGAAAACGGAGAAAACGAGGGGAACCTTTGCCCTGTGTTTGTAGTGGATAAACCCTTGTGCATGCCAAACACTGGCTACATGTTTAATTTGGTATGCACAGGGTTTATCCAATACTATTAGCCCAATGTACAAATTCTAGCTAAAAATGCTCCGGGCTACCTAAACTTGGTTCCTTAGTTGCCTGGTGGGCTAGTGAAAAATTCAGAATAAGCCAACCTGTTAAAACGTAGATCAAAATAAAAACAAGTATTCAATATAAATCAATGTATCAATATAGGCCTAAATATCTGAAAGTAAGCAAAAAGTGGCAATTTTCGCCTAACGTAAGCAACCCAAATGAGGGGAAAGATGGAGCAAAGAGATGATTTTGTTCCTAACTCCCTTACCAGTGACTCAAGTGATGTTTAACTAACATACATGCCGCTTTATTTATACCATCAGCCTTTTATTTTCTGAAATGTCAATTCTTTATTGGTGAGCTGATAACGAATTTGGGGTTTTAAATTTTATATGTGGGTTAGTAAAATATCCAGTTAACTAGCCCAGTGAGCCAGCCAGGAAAAAAAGTTTGCGCAAAGCCTGCAGATGTACATGTATCTCAAATAAAACTAGGAACTTCGAGCAATTAAGGTACAGTGCAATAAAAAGCAACTTATGGAAAAAAAAAGCTGCTCACAATAGTATTGTTTGATTGAAAACACAGACATTTTGTCCATTTGGTGATTTGAAGGATCTCCAACTCCCTCAGTTCTTGCCACATTTTAGTCCAACGATTGATTTTGATTGGTCCTCCGCCATGATGCGTGTAATCCTTTCTTCAGCTCAGATGGTTCTAAGATGACAGGGGAGATGCAATCTCCCAGTGATAATCCCTCCATCTGCTCTCCAATCTACATGTACATTTCGTCTGAAGACATCTTGTGTAATCCTCCCATTAGGACAGATGGCTGCCCTAATCTTAGCTGTATTCAGCAGAGTGGAGGGGCATTGTACCAGGTCCTCATGTTACGGATGGGATGATGTACCGTAGACTTGGTGTCCACATGTTCTTTCTTAATTGTCAAATGTTTGAATTGAATATTGATCTTGTCTGTGCATGCGTAAAGCGTACATGTACATCTGGCACAGTTATTGTAGAAAACCACACAGGCAGTAACTTTAGGTTACTTCAGACTCGGAGTGTAAGTTTCCTTAAGTTTCATGTATGCAGTTCTGCTGCACTGTCCTACAGTGTTGGCATGAATAGTTGGAAAGAGCATGTAATAACTTGCAAGTTTAATACCACTTGCTAGTTCTGGTAACTTGCATACAAATACAGTGTATGGTACCGTAACTTGAAACTTGAACGCGTTTTAAGAGCAAAGGATGCAAACACCATTGTACACGTACCACATTGTATCTTTAACTGACAAAACCAGACAGTATTCTAATATTTGTTTGCTTTCTACTCAGATCCCCTCCCCCAGCTGTTTGCCAAATTCAGTGATATATTAACAACAGATGACTTAGTCATAAATAAATCTGTCAGAAACCAATTTCAATGGAGCCATCTTTCTTACTGCCATGATGCTTCTAACAGTCTTAAAAAGATGTTTTGATAAGGGATCATCTCACTGGTCCTGCTTTCTGTGCAAAGTAAATTTTCCTGTGATCTTTAGCGCTAGTCTTTTGTGGTTTACCGCCTAATGGCAATGCTGTGGTGCCGTACACTTTCCCCGTCGTCGCGTCTCCGGTCCAAGGGTTGCCTTTTTTTTCTTTAGAAGATTTGCTTGCGCATCAAACCATCCACACTTCCTCTCCAAGATGATTTGAGAGATACAACTTGTCCTAGTGGCTGACAGCAGTTTAGAGTAAACAATCACATCAGGCTGATGTTGAATGGGAGACTCCTTGGTGAAGACTGTGCTCTCCAAACATTGATGCATGCAAGTGTTGAAAGCTTTAGCGATCCGGGGGAATACATGCAAAGATGGATAATGAAGCCATTTCTGGAAATAATAAACAAAGAATGGATCAATTCAAAGCAGTTTTAATCTAAAAGAATTGGTTGATTCTGCGTGTGTGTATAAATACTTGGATTTTATGAACAAATCTGGCTCATAAATCTCTGCACACTGAATTAGATTTTTGAATTCTTTCGTGAATGTGTTTCTGCCTGTGTCTTTGTTGCAAGTAAGGATTTTTATTTGGGTATATTGTCTTCGCTGGATTTACCAGTAGAAGATTGTTAGGAATGTGAAGGTGTCAAGTTGTTTAGACAGTCATCATTGAAGCTCCTGCTACTCACATTTCCTTGATCACTTTACGTTTAGTTTATTGAACAGGTAGTTGGAGTCCAAAATATAGTTGATAACTGTGTATAGTTAAAAAAAACAGCAAAAACTCTCTGTGATTCCCCAGAAGAAGAACAGCTTAAATGTTACTCTGGCATTTTGCCTTGAAAGATCCCTGTCATGGCCAACTTTCAACATTATTCTGTCCACATTTAGGATGTACTTTTTCAAATAGAAATGTTGAATGAAATAACACTGAAATGTTGTCTTCTCTTCTTTTTCACCTGCAGATGTACCTGATTTCAACCCTGTGTACTTCACTTCAGAACCTTCAAACATTATAGCCGTTCCAGGCTCTGCGGTTACACTGAACTGTTCAGTATATTCCCTTCTAGTGCCTACAATTAGCTGGACCAAGGATGGCAGTGCGGTTCCGGCAGATGACCCAACCAAGAGAGTACAACCCAGTGGAGCTCTGCGTATAGCCCCAGTCTCCCTAGATGATGAAGGCTCGTATCAATGCAGTGCTGAATTGGAGGAGGGAGACTTTTTTGCAAGTTTGAGTAGCAGACGAGGAGCTGTCACTGTTGCTAGTAAGTAGGATTAATTAACATATTGACCTGTATGTTTAGTGTGGTGTGAAGGAGACTGAAAATATGTACATGTATCTGTGCATATTCTTCCCCATGCATCATTACCATTTATTATGATTGAATATAAAACCTTTTTTCCATAGACCATAGGAGTTCACTCCAGCCATGAACATACATGTATATGTACACTCTACAAATAGTGCATTTTATATGCACAAAGGTTAAATATTCTGAAATATAAATTGATGTCAGCCTTTTATGGTTCATCCGCGAAAGCACATGTACAGCCAACCAGTGGATTCTCACCTCAACATTTATTCAGTTATTATCCCTTTTATTCCTAAACATTTTGCAAACACTGATCTAACATTGATGTAACTGCAAGGTTTATGGCCCACCCGGTATGCCACATATGTTTGTCACTTTATGAGGCCTTTACATGTACATTCAGTTCATGTTTTACTGTATTTGAAGATTTCATGGGGGGTTTGGATTGGCTGAAATATAAATTCCACAGATGGAAATCACATTTAATCCTTATTGCTTCAGGTTACTGAAAGAATTTGAATAATAATGCAGTAGACAAATGTCTAAGGTAGCATCAAAGGTAGATCCTGCCGAGTTATGCAGCCCCTCTAAACATCTATCCATCAGAAAGATACTGTGCTATGGAGTGCTACCCAAAGTGACTCTGTTTGCCATTTTCCTCTTCTGCACGTTGTGCCCCTCGGTTCGCTAAATTGCGCGAACTCAAAACTTCAGTCGGCGTAACCAGATCCAGTAGGATTCTCCAGGGAGAAACGGCTGAAACCGAGAACCTGCCGAACATTTTAATATATATGACATTTCTGTGCCGGCCTGCCTCATAGCAGCACACAACTGAAAGTGTTAGCTACCTGTCTGTCGCTGGCGAAGAAAGGAGAAGCTGTCGAATGAAGAAGACTGTTATTTGAGATGCCTGCCTTGATATATCTTATTGGGTGTCATGTCAGTTTTCTCTGGTTAGGGAAAAACAAACACGCTAGCATTGTGGCAAGACAAGACTCGGATCTCACAGATGCTTTTATTGATGAGCACAGCTTGCCTGAAATCAAATTCCACTGGCTGGCTGGGTTTTTAGGCTAGCATTTCTCATTAGAATGATATCACTGAAGTTGTCTGCTTTCCAATTTCATGTAGGTCCTTTTATTTCCTCTATGATTTCAATGCTAGATACATGTATTGATGGAGCTTGTGAAATACATCTACTGCTGAATAAATGAAAAGTATTCTTTTTACTGACTTTTAAGCATGGGCGGAAATACTGGGGGGGGGACGGGGGACACATCCCCCCATGAATTTGGTGCAAGGGGGACACAATGTCAAATGTCCCCTCCATATTTTAAGCAAAACAAAATACTAAAGGAATTGATGGATCGAGAATTTTCACTTGTGAGTTTTTATAAATGGAATAAGATAATAAACATGGTGTGCACAAAAAAAGTGTAAATGGAAGGCCCCCCACGATCGAAGAGAGATTTCCGCTCATGCTTTTAAGTAGGGAAGATAGATACGGTAGGGTAGATGTCACTTTTTCTATCCACACAATCATTTTAATTGGTAAAGGGGCACATTTCTTTTCGTGATTGGGTGAACTTTTCCTAAAATTTCATTTATCAAACTTTGAAATTCCCCCGGACAGACTTGTGACCGCAGGGTGCTTTTAAATGTACATGTAGTTTCCATTTTCTCATCAAGGAAAGTACTTGTTTGTCACTCTGCTCAAATTTCATCTTCTTCAAAGTCTGTCTCCATTTCCAATGGGGTCGTCAAATGGACAGTACTGTACCAGGAGAGGTAGAAAAATGACTCATTAAACAAAAGGCTCATCAGACATCATGTCTGCACTGCAGTGCCATCTGATATACATAGCTACACACAGCCAACTAGTGCAAATTTGAAGTGAAACACTGCAAAAGCCCACGTCCTGGGAACGTTTACCGAGCCGGAACTTGGATATGTTCTTGTTCATATTTTCCTGTCATCGACTCATCACACATGTCGCTGTTGACTGGCGAAATAGCAGGGCAAAGTGAAGAACTCCTCTTGAGAATTTACCGGAGAGGAGGAGAAATATTGACCACCGGTTGAGTCGGAGGACCAGATGGAACCGTTCTTTCCTTCTCTTTATTTTGTGTTGAATTTTTTTTCCGAGTCTATCAAGGAGTAGCCCTTAGCTTTGACCTGGTTTAAGGTCTTTGTCCCTAGTTGCCAATCTGTGGAAGTTTTTACCCGATGAATTGTGTCAATATTTGACCAATCAGCCTTTCCTTCTTGCCAGAATTTGCTGGCTTGAGTAAGTGTGCAAGGATGAAAGCAACAGTCTCCAAGTAAAAAAAAATCCTAGGAAAAAGTTTTCTTTCATGAAAGAGTGAAAGCAAGAGTTCTTTGAGTTTGAACTTGTACTGGATTGCTCATAATGTTGGCATTGCACATACATGTGTAAAGTGTAAATATTAACCAAGAGTGTTTAGCATCCCGCATGAATACTCCACTCTTGGCTACTTCAGAAGCAAAGCTACATGTAAGTTGCATTTTTTTAGTGCCGTTTGTCTTTATGTTTCTACTATAGTGCTTTTCTTTTAACCCATATATTTATGGCATTGAGCACCTAAAGATACGTGCACTCTCAAGTTTGAATTGATGCCTGCACCAATACCTTTAAGTAATCACGATGCCAATACCTGAATACCCATCACATTCTGTACGTGTACATCAGATTTTGTCTTTCCTCTTACGGTCATCAAGTTATCGAAATGACCTCTCAGAAATTCTGGAGGGGAGAAAAAGAACAAGCAGGTGTATTGCTAACGAGACATCTGAGAGGTGTGTCCCTACCTTAGCAACACCCTCCTCCCCCCATGCAGGAAAGGTTAATCAGAGTCAAGCAATTTGCCATTCATGCGCGATCTAATGAACAACTTCTAGCCATCCGCCTCTCTCCTGGCTGCGATGGAATTTTCTCTCCATCGTGCAGGTTCTCACCATTTCTTTGGCGATGCATTATTCATAGTTTGTAAAATCTGTTTGCCGTACGTCAGATTTTGTTGACGCTGATGTTCAACGTGTGAAATTGAATGATATTAATGGTAGGATGAGTTTTTTAGCTGTCAGACGGAAACACGTACATGTACGTGCATTGCTCTCAAGTGGAAGGGAAAAATGAAGTATTTGTGTGCAATTGTGCCATTCTCATTGAAAAAAGATTTGCTCAAGAAAATTTGTTATGGTGTCATTTCATGCCATCAAAACAAAAAGTCTGCGATTGAAGAAGAAAATTTTAATTGCAACATGGGTTGAAATTTTTGACATTAAATAATAATGAAAGCAGAGTTACACATATGCAACTTGGTTTCTAGTTCTGATTGCTTCGATTCCTAGTGTCATGATGCAAATTTCTTGATCCAATGTCCACTCACTCAAGACATCAGCCCAGGCATCACCATTTACACATCTCTTACAAGCCAAGCCCTTTTCCGCATTCCAGGAAGCGTTGAGAAAAGCGTGCCCCGACTACAAGCTTAAGAGGTGCGAACTAAAAATGTCGGCCTTGTCCAGCTCGACAAGCAGAAGGCAGTAAAGCGAGGATAAACACCGCTGCCTGATCACACTGCTGCTGTCACAGCAGCATGTGTAGCATTAGTACAGTAGGCGCTGATAAGCAAGTCTGGTTATCTCAGCTGCTCAGTTATGATAGGAGGATATGCTGGCTTGAAGATTTGACATTGAATTTGAGAGAGATGAAAACGAACAGGCCTCAGTATGAACATTAAGTGATACTGTATTGGCAATGTGTGTGTTCATACATGTACATGTATGTACTGTCATGAATGTCCCTAGATTTAAGATACATATACGTGTACATGCATATTCAAAGGTTTTGAAATGGAGAAAATGGCTATTGACCGTTTCAGAAATTTCTTGCTATATTAGTAATGAATATCCACTGAGTTTGTGTACATAAACCATACATTTGTTCAGATATGCATACGGTTCATGACATGTACATGTACATGTATGCAAGCTTGATTAGTTTCAATGCAACATAATATTTGGTACCATGCATAATCTCTCTCTGCATTGTATGTGTATATTTCCTGACATGTATGTAATCGATCACCTGTAATACAAGAAATACGCAAGAAACGTTGTGGGTATTTTTGGTGCAAAAACAACTTGGTGACTTGGGTGTAGAATTTCACAACCATTGGTTGTTGGTTGGGCTGGCTCTGAAGGCAAAAGGGTGCATTTCTAAAGAAATGAAACCTTTTGGAAATAAAAACATTTGTCCGTGCATGCCACGCTGTCCCTGAACTGTGGTGTTATTTCTTTGTCTTCTCTTTTTGAAGTTTGCTAGCCCATGGACCAGTTATTTTGCACAAACAATTTTCTACATGGCTATAATAAAATAGAGTACTGAAGCAAAAGTTTCCACCATTGTATTTAATATACCAGCCGAGTCTTTTTCTTTGCTTTGTATGCGAAGGTATGGCAGACTTATTGTAAGCATCAGATGTATCGTTATTTTTCACGTCTAGTCTAAAGTCTGTCTCTTTTTTTTCTGTCATTTTGATTTTTTTTCTCCTTGTTTTTCCATTTGTATTTGTGGCCATTAAGATCCACCATCCGAGACCTTACTCAGTGTTTGTGATAGCATGTGGGAACCATAAGACAGACTTGTTCACACTGCAGTGACAAATTACATATAAAATTGGCTACTTTTAATGTCTCGTCTAATCACAATGACATAGATTTGAACTTTGAAATTCTTTTCCGTACTGTAATATTTTGTTCTTGTATTTGCCTTGTCTCTAACAAAGTTATGACTGCCTACCTGTACTTGCTTTGAGTAAGTTTGTGAAAATCAAATATGGGTAGATGTACATGCGTGCATGTAGCCTACATACTGTAAAAGGACTATTCCATTGATTAATGGTCTTGATGTTCAAACAGGTTGTAGATTGAAAGCCTGTGTGGTTTCATTTCAGCAGATTTTTTGTGGACTTTTTCTCTCGAAACCTGTTTTTAAAGGCTGATTTCCATATCAATGTAAAGAGACACAGAGAGTCCTACTAATCGGTTCCCAATGATACGCAATCATATGGAAACACTTACCAGTAACTGTGTGTCACTGACGCAAACAGGGATGGCGACAGTCGGCTATGTTGAGTCGCCAGAATATAGATACAAACAGGCACACTGGTATGATGGGTGTGCAACGATGTTTCTCTCGCTTAGTACCACACATTTTGCCCATTTTCTTCTTATTGCTAACATGTGACATCCCAATTATCCAAATAAAGCTGACCTTCAACAAAAAACATCAAACTGGAGTATCAGTTTAGCTTCAAGAGATGATATCTTAACCTAAAAAGGGTGTTTAATGGGAAAATATTCCAAACTCCAGAAGCCATTTTGTTTAACATTTTTGATGAAATGATGTCACACAGCATCTCATCCGTGACTGGTTACATCTTGACATCTTGCATATTGTCAGCATTCTTTACGACCATATGGAAATTAGACTTAACATTCCATGCACTCCATCCCACTGCACCACATCACATCCCACCCTAATACCCCATCCCAGCCAATCCCAGCCTGCCTTTTACCAATACCATACATTTAGAGACTGCCATATTTTATTTCCCAGTCCTTTTCTGAATGCACACCTTCCACAGGTGCCGATACTCATTGCTGTTTGTACATTCCCCATTCACCAGCCATCAAACATCTTTCATCCCTGTATCTGAAGCAGTTACATTGATACAACCGTTAGATCTTATTCATTCCTTAAGCCTTCTTTGGGGCTAAGATTAACTCCAATTGTAAGCCCTCCAGGACTGTTTATGGAATTCCTAAATGCGGGCTGGCATGTCAGCTTTGTACACATTAATACCTGCACTTTTTTCTTCACACACACATGTAAGCATTGGTGCCCTTGAATTGCAGCTGTTTTTATGTGTACATTTCACTGGGGCTACAGTGTCTCCCGGTAACATGTACATTAAGGAAGATATCAGAGAATTGGTGACTTTATCTTTCCCTTTGATATAACACAGATTTTGCTACCAGCTTAGCTGCTGTTGATTGGGGAGAGTTTTGAAATAGTGGCATAGCCAGAGAGTGGTTGGGTTGAAAATGAGCCCCACCCCACTTGGTACCTACTTCCCTTAACTTTTTCTCTCTTCAGTGATCCCAAAGACGGAAAATCATGCCTCAAATAATCAAGAAAGTGCCCTCCACCATCATCACAACCATGGAACCCTGGTTTCCCCACCAGACACCAGAGACACCTGTAATTTACAATGCCCTGACTACAAATACTTGCCTGTCCCAAGCCATTCTTGTATTTATTTGCATGGCTATTGTAACTGTTTCAGAACTGGTTCTCCTTGATGGCCCAGCAAGAACCGCAGCATTCAATGGAGACACAGTGTACTTTGAGTGTAATTTCAACTCAGTCCCAGCAGCAGAAATAAGGTGAGTCTTTTACATTATTTTGTTTTCTTTATAGGAGACAAAAACACTCACGGTGGCAAAACAACCTAAGACAGGCCTAAGAAAGGTCTGCAGAGACAAGGTAAAGAAGGCATTTTGAGAATAGAGCTGAAAGGAAGAGTATCCACCTTGAGCAGGAGCGTTCGCACATTGGTTGAAAAGTGCCATGCTGGTCAGGAGTGCTCATTTCATTGGTAGCGATGCAACCGTAACTCGTGCATTTCCTAGTCGTTTGTGAACCAGTGAAGTTCAGTTCCAAAGGAGCTTCCATTGCTAGGAAATTCATGCCCTCCTTTGGTCCAGCTCGGGGCTCATAGGCAGCTTTTTTCTTTTTCACAGAAGGAAAGAAGACCAGAAACACAACCTGCAAGTATTTATTTTCCTGGATGGGATTCAAATGTTGGACATGAGTGGCAGACAATGGCCCATCTTGTCAACCTGATTCTCAAATCAAACTGACAGAATGTTCATGAAATGGACAAATAAAACATTCATCAGATGTATGATTTAAAACTTTTTTGTCTTGGACAGTTGGTTGAAAAATGGCCAAGTTCTGGACCTCACTGAGGAACGGATCTCTGCCCGGTACACCCTGCTACCTAGTGGTGGCTTGGAGATTAGAGAAGTACGGTCGGCAGATGTAGGAACATACCTATGCCGAGGAACTAACCAGCTGATCACGACACCTGTACAGAGCTTTGGTGCTGACCTTACCATCAACCCTGGTAAATTTGCTTTCAATCTTCCAAAAGTCTAACCATTTCTAAAGATCAACTTAAGATAACAGGTTTGACCTGACAAATCTGTCTTGTTTGTTTCCATAGGAACAAATCCTTCCTCACAATTTAACTTCATCAGGACACCTCAGGATACTGAGGCACCTGTTGGACAGACCATTGTCTTGGAAGCTGCCACCAATTTGCCAGCCATCTTCACCTGGTTCAAAGATGGATCAGAGATAATCATGTAAGTGAAGTCCTTCCTTGGAAATTGTATGCACAGCAATTAAGGGTCTTCCTGCAAGATCAGGGGAAAGGGTCATGATTGAATGCATGTACAGATTGGGGTCTGTTGCCTTGGTACAGGCTAGTTGTTGCTACTGAGGACTTGCAAGCAAAGGTTTCACAAGAGGAAAGATGTGACAAGACCTCTGTCAAAGTAGGGTACTTGTCCCCAAACAAAAGTTAGCCTAAACGGGAACAAAAGAAAGACAGTAAAAAGGTTCTCAGTCATCTGGTCAATCCATACACTGGATGCATGTCCTTGCTGATAAGTCATACAACGTGTGTTTCCCCGCAGCTACAGAACAAGTCCACGTACTGTACATGTATGTGCGTGGATGCTGCTGAGTAAAAACGAAGCCAGGGACAAAATGCTACTTTGTTCAAAAACAACTCTTCCGTTTTTTGAATTGTTAAAGAATCTTTATACCATTCTTCCAGATTAAATGGTAATACTGTATTTGGAAGAGAAAAAAATTAACAACATGTGGGGGAGGGGAACATACATATCTGCAAAAGGGGGGTGTCATAAGTGACACATTTAAGATATCTTGCACCTGATCATGACATTTCTCTTCTGTCCTCACCCTGGTTACGGCATGTATCTCTCCCTCGCTACAGTGTTGGATCTGGTACTGAGGATCACTACACCCTATTAGGCCAAGGCAGTCTCGAAATCAGGCAAATTGGAGAGATTGATACAGGACTCTACCGTGTCTTGGCAACATCCATTGCTGATGGCACAGCCCTACCAGTAGATCACACTGTCAAAGTCACAGCATTAGGTAAGCACAGTTTTTTCAGTGTTTTTTTCAAAATGCCATGCTGTTAATGTGTTGGTCATTTTATTGAGATTCAGCAAAACGATCAGTTGGTTGTGACTGTTGGTACATGTAAAACTTGTACCTTTGAAAAGGAAGGACATTTTTTGAAAAAGATCGACTCATTTGATGTGAAGTTTGTAAAGTATTTCACACCTTGATGTTACGCCTCGATGATACAGCTTGTGTATTGAACACTCGTTACACACTGCTGGTTGAATTCCAAGTGGTTAATAGCCTGACACCACATCTCAACCCCCAGTCTTTCCTGTGTCAGGTTTGTACGGATATGTACAATCCTGTAAAACACTTCAGCATTGAGACACTTCTTTACCATTGACAATTCCTCAAGATGAGTTTTTTAAAGTGTGTTTTCATTGAGTGGTTTAATCGCATATTCTCATGTGTTTCAAGGCTTCTCCATCAGAGTAGAAAGTTAAAAGTCAAGTTGCAGCTTTCATAAGTGTCGCTGCTTGTCTTTGCTTGTATTTTTCTACCTTTTTGGATGCTATTGTACGTAGAGAACTGTTTATGGGGCGCAGTGAGGTTGTGATGATTGATGAAGAATATGAAGGAGTCAGGCACTAGATCAGAATATCTTTTCTGAATTGAGATTTGTTTCATTTGCAGCAGTGTTTGCAAAATCAGGTTCCATCAGTTGTTTTGATTTTAATGAACTAGTGCCACTGAAGTTCAATATCCAACCTGTGAACACCTACACCAATGTTGGGTCATCGGTGACTCTCAACTGCAATGCGTACGGCATCCCTGGCCCCACCACCACCTGGTACAAGGAAGGAGAGGAACTAGAGCCGGGTGATATCTACCTGGTCAGTGCAGGAAGCTTGACCATTGAGCAGGTCATCCAGGAGGATTCTGGGATATATCAGTGCGTTGCCGACAACCGACTGGAAAACATCCAGGCTGCAGCTGAGTTGATTGTACTCAGAGAAGGTATGGACTCTTTTGAAAGGATGATTGCGGGTGTCTTGTGCTCAAAAAACTAAAGATTGTATAAAATATGTGCAGTTGAAGAGAACAAGAAAAATGTAATCATTTGACACAAGTTTTATGATGATATATGTGTTGATGATATCAGTTGTCAAATGGAGTTAGATTTGAAGAACAGTGCAGTAAGCAAAAAGTAATTCTCCTTGTTAAGATACCAGTTTTTGATATTCTTTCCAGAGTGTGTTTTCACAGTGGTTACAGGATTTTTTTTAGAAATAATCAAATTCATAACCCCAAATTAGTGGAGTTTTTGAAGAGACTTACAGACACTCTAGGCAGGATTGACAGGCCCCCTTCCCATTATTCAATGAGTGCTTTGTTACATTCTTGGTTTTTTTGTCATTGATTCATATTTTCATATTGCTTGGATTGACTTTTATTTTGGCTATGATTTGTGTAAATTATTTAAGCCTACATCTATGCATTTATTTTTGCATGATATTCATTTACAGTGCTTGTCGTTAATTTTCCGATGTGGTCATTTGTGGCATGTATCTTCGCAAATACTCAGTACCTGTAAATTCATTGAAGTACGGTACCAGGTATTTTAAAACCCATTTCAAACTCACTGCCAGTTCTCAGTCTGAACTCATAAATTTTTAAAGCCATTACTAAAGTTGACAACAGATGATCTTTAATCTATTCCCCATGACATTGGTTATCCTGTTGCCATGGAAACATCACTCAATTTATGAGCAGGAGTGCTCGCAGCAATAAAGGGGAGAAATTCTATCGGGAGGGAGCGCAGCACATTAAATGCACTTTCTGCTCCTTACAAACCCTTGGGTGTCAATCAGAAAGATTTGTCGAAAAATAGAAAACATGGCCAACAAAGTGAACAGAGTGAGGCAGTCCAGTCTTCAGCTGCTTTTACACCAATGACCTTTTCTTTCTAAATAAGTGTTTTACATCCATCTGTGTAATTTCTTTATGTCTTTTTCTCTCTCCTCTCTTTAAATCTGCAGAAATGTTTTGTGGTTTGAATTATGAAAACACTACACTTGGCAAGACATAATCTTATACTGGAAGCCATTTTGAATGATATTACTTAGGGGTTGAAGAGGAATTGGTTTTGCAACATTTTCATCTCCATGGTTTCATGTACAGTAGTTGTCTTTGAGAAAACATCATCAATGGTTGAATTGGAATTTTCCCCCTAACTAGCGTAAAGCAGTTTGATCAAGTACTGCTCCTCAGTGCGCATATATGTATTTGCCTAAAGGCCACTGAACTCAACTCATAAGCAAATTGATGTGATGATTGCAACGTTTGGCTTTCATCTTACCCCCCCCCCACACAAGTAACTGTAATTAATCAAAGGCAAACTTCGGAATTCCCCCAAGTTTGACCCCATGCCTCTGAGGTACCCGTACATGTAGATGGAATTAAAAATACAGGAATTGGTACCATGACAACCAAGATTAATTTCTTTAATTTTGTATTTTGTACGTCTGCTTGAAATTTGAGTGAATCCCTGTGATTGAATTTTCTGAGTTCAGTATTTTATCAGTGTCTGCTAAAGATTATACTGAAGATGTGAAAAAGTGTATGGTGAATGTTCAACTTTCCAACAAACCTTCACTGACAGTTCAGATGTAGTTATTATTGTCATTGTGCCCAATGGAGGGACCTTTGTTTGATGGACAATTTCTATGAGCCTGGAGCTGGACCAAGAGAGGGTGCAATTTTCCAGCAATGCAAGTTCCTTTCGTAGGAACTGCACTTCACTAGTTTGCAAACAACTGTGAAATGCTCGCGTTATAGTCGCACTGTTTCCAATAACATGAGTACTCTTGACCAATATGGCTCTTTTCAACCAATGAGGGGGCACTTCTGCTCAGGGCAGATTTCAAGAAAAACTTGGCTGTGAGCTGTCAGTTGTGAACACTGTCTAGTACCTCCCGCAATGTCTGTGGTCCACATTGCACAGGAACAAGCACCTGTAATGCCTGTTTTATGTATTTCCCATCAACTGTAAAGGCAGGTACTAGTATTAATCAAAATTACACATGCACAAACAAATTGTGCATGAAGTAATCTGTGCTTGAAATATTGATTCTGTGCCGTCAGACTTTGACATAAGCAGCGTTCCATTATACTACTGTCATCCTTTTCCTTCAACCATCCCAACATCCCTTGCCAACTCCTTCACAAGACAGTAATGCCTCCAGTCTTTTTAGACACCTTGTTTGTCCCTCCATCAGCAGTAGTTCAGCTGATTTCAGCGGCTTGTCTGAAATGGCACGTACCCTCAGCAAGTGGCAACCAGCACTGTTGAATATTACTGGCTGTTTCCATTTCATCATCCACCCTGGTAACCAGGGAGGATTTTGTTGTTAAGGGATACGAAGATGATGACTACCCAATGTAAATCTTGACATTTCAAGCAGATGCTAATCCAGACAAGTCCAAGCAGTTGTGCCTGGAAATTTTGCATTTCAATTAAGGAAACGAATCTCATCCATCTACAAACACAAAAAGGCCGCCTGTCCTGACCAGGAGAAATACTTTGGAAAGAAAATTGTGAAGGGACATGCTTTAGACCACATTTATTGCATGATTTGATAAAGGGATACACAGAATGCCTCATTACTATGCACCTCGTCATCTCCTGCGCCGTAGAAATAACATCTGAAGTTGAATAAGATATTGAAATAACAGTAGCTGAAGATGCTCGGTAGAACACAGATTATCATTTTCTATCATCAGCTTTGATGTGTGCCGAATTGTGCATTGAAGTACATGGAAAACAAGATTTTAGAATTGTAATTATGAAAGTCACGGCAGTTCAAACGCTGCTTTTCATTACAATCTTTTCTTCTTAGAAACATTCCAGCTGAATGATGAAGTTCATTTCTGTTGCCTTTTGAAGCATTTGCAAATGAATTGTGCTTAAGATTATGCCAAACCTGTTACAAAACAAAGATTCATTGCTTCAGCTTGTTCTGAGTCTTTAGTACTTTCAGCTGATTCAAATTGACGTGCATGGTCTTACATGTACATGTACATGTCGTTTCCCGTAATCTTACCATGTATAATTTATTTTATCATTGAATTGTATCAATAAGTTTTTTTTTTTCAAAATATTTGGAGCTACAGTTCAGCATGATCTGTTTGCTCAAGCTCTCTAGCAACCACAAAATGAATGTTAATTGGATGAGGGGGACAAATTTTCAGCGTTCCATCCCTGAGGCTCGTGTTTACGATACTACCACTTGGATTTGTTCCCTCTCGGTGTGTGGGTATGACCACGCTAAATCCACCCTCGGGGTTGTCGCACTTTTACCAGCCGATTGGTAGGCATTTTTTTCCCTTGTCTCTCCTCATGTGGCCTGTCATGGGACTCTCACAGCAGCCATCTTTGATCCCCCACCCCTAGAGGGGTTGATGAGAATCGGCTTGGCTCTGCACATGTGCCCAAGCATTCCACCGCTTCTGTGAAGCTGGGAGAGATATCTTGGTCATGGTCTGTCTGCCTCCATGCATAAGTGCCGGAATCCATGAGTGCAAACACATGTTTTTTAACTCTCAATCCACTGTTCTTAGCTGTGCAGGTTGAGAAGCTCTTCCTTAGGCTATGGACTTAAGGTGTGCATGCTCATTGCACAGTAGCCTTCATGTACATGTACATGCATTTCACAGTTATTTGGTTGGTTTGGGGAAACTATAGGCCTATGCTGATTTATAGACTGATTGCAGGGCATTTTGTATGTATCATGCTGATGTGAGGGCTGTATGTGATGGCAACTTAAAAAAAAGATTAATATAAAATCCAGAGTACAGTTATGCCGTAATAGGAAGGAAAAGTGTGTTGATATTTACAAGTGTATAGCTGACTTTGGATGTCTGAATGCAGTGCTTATAGTTATACCAACATTTATAGGACAATACTTTTGTAGTTGTGCTTTCTTACTAATAGAACAATGTGTCTGCTACCATCATCTAGAGAATGCAGAAAACAAGAGCCATTAAAATTGAAGAATGCAAGCTTTGAGATATTTACATCCTTGTCTTTACGGCCTCAAGCAGCATGCTTTGAAACTCGGATCTTTTCGCCAATATCAACCTTTTTATCTGTAGTATCTGAGAAACTATGTAGTGAACCCTGCAAATTTAATGTCTGCCGTGTTATCACCTGTCTGTCATCCTGTCTCTTTGTGGCACATATCATTGATCAGATCGTCTATGAGTTAACATTAATGTTGTCAGCGTGGCTTTATCTCCCTCCATTAATGATAGGCAGTTTGATCTGCTCAGGCTTGTGAGGATTTTTTTAGTTTCGATTTCATCTGCCACCTGCTCACCTCTGTAGAAGATTGCCTTCTGTGTCTGAAGCTGTCTGCCTTGAAAACATCGATCTAAAAATCTGTCAGGTGTTTAAGTTAAGGGAACATGCTCTTTCATTGGTACTACTTTGAATTCTATCATTGTAACATGTTGCTGGACAAAGTATTTTGTCCCGTCCAAAAATGGTATCTGCCCCGAGTGCACCCTCACTGGCGAAAGAAAAACAGGCTGGTATGCAGTTTTCCAACAAGGTTCTTACACACGCTCAGTGGACACGTGAAGATCATACATCCAGCATAAATTTGTTAGGTATACTCAGCGTGCCCCGTGCCAAACACACATGAACATGCGCACACTTACCTGCACGCGGTGAGTTCACACCAACGGGCTGTCAATTTTAGCCCTCTTTTGTTCTGCTTGGAGCGGATATGACCCAGCCTAAGCCACTTAGGAGTTGAAAGATTATGAACAAATAAATCATTGGAGCACTCAACACCTTTACATGTATATGTACATGCACATAATGGTCACTTTCACTGTGATACTTATGATAAAACAGAGAGCTCAATCCGCTCTTTCAGAAGTAAATTTAACAAGTACGGAAAAAATTGCCCTATATACATTTTTTCAGATGTACTTGTACAGAGGCCGATTTGCTCCTGTGAATGGCCAGAAAAGGCTGCACACCAAGATTGAGTAGGCAGGTGTTGCCATGTTGTATACAATATTTAATGCATTCCGACGTTAATACTTAACCAGCCACCCTTTCCTGACAACTCATTGTACAGGTTTGTAGCAGCACAATCAATGCACTAAGCCTAGGTCTCCTTGCCTATTGTCTACTTGTTAGCCAGTTCTATCTCCATCCATCCTTCTCTTTATTGGTTCTTGCATCAATCGTTCAGTGGTTAATTGTGATAGGCTTCGGTAAAATCCTAAGTCTAATAGCTTGTGTCTTAAAATAACTAAAAATGCAGTGTCTGATTGTGCGAGTACCCAGTGCTCCAGTAACATTAACAGGGGATTATTCAAATAGGCAAAATTTCAGGGGTGAAAATTCTAATATTATTTACCAATAGTATTTGTATTTCAAACCATTTCGAGGTTGATTCCAGCTTTTGATGTGAAATTGCATAAAAACGACACTTTAGCATTAAATGTACTTGAATTTAATATTTTTGACATAATAATTTAATAATTTGACATAAGTTTAGAACTGAAAATCTGTTGGTGAAAATTATGAGGATTCTGATTATTTTAATCAACATTGAACTCGGCTGCAATTGATAATTCTCCCATGTCCTGTTTTTCCATGTGTCAAGAGAAATTCATAAATCATGGTGAAGTATCCTACTTAAAGACACTTGATTCCAGACATGATCATAAACCATAGAGAATTGTAAGACCTGAGACATGGTGTTGTCTGTGTTGTCATCCTTATGCTTAATTTCTATCTACAGCATCAGTTGTGCCGATATTACTACATGTACTTTCTTGACATTATGATGATATACATGTATGTATTTGTCTTTCATGAATTGAAATCTCTTTGAATTTGTTTGCATGCCGTGGCTGGTGATTCGCTAATCATTGGTCTCCTAGTTACATGTCAAATATTTACTCATAGTCTGTATTTGTGTATTATGGTTTTTGGCTGATGTACATGTAAATCTCACATTAATTTAGACCAGAAGCAATCAAGGCTTTGCGAACCAAAAATGTGAGATCCTCTTTTCTTTTCTTTTTTTCTTTTTTTTTTGTCATGCGAGATCTGGATCAGTCACTGACAGTATTTTGAAAGGAGAAGGAAGCTGTCATTGTTCAGTACAGCATTTGCTGTGGAATCAAACTTGCCAAAAATCATGAAAGATCTTTTCAAGTTTGGGGGATTTTTTTTGTGCCTGTTATCATCATGGTAAATGTCTGCATGATCATCAAAAATATTGATATGTATGTATTTGTGTATATTTGTTTTAACACGCATTGCAAGCAGCACGTTTTCATATGTAATTGCATGGCTATTTTGAGTGTGGTTCTTTTTGTTTTGTTTTCTTTTCCTTTGTTGCATGGTCTCCCCATCGTCCCTTCTGTCCCTGGATGCAAATAGGTGTTCCCATCCCAACTCGCCCCCCTACGACGACCGTCACTACCTTGCCAGCACCCCCACAACCAATAACCACAAAATCTCCCCCCGGCCCAGCAGACACAGGACCGGTACCCACCAAGCCCCTGGAACTTGAAGCTACTGATATCCAGGCTCAGTCCTTCCGATTGACATGGAGGGAGCCGAGCCAGTTAAATGGAGATCTGCAGAGCTACAGAATATATGTCAAATGGAATGACGCGTAAGTATGTTTATTAAACCAAGACACATCAAAATTTCTTCAAACAATATATCTGTGAACCCTCCCAGATCTTTCAAAATCCACCATGTGCTTTCAAAGGATCTTGTGGGATTTCAAAAGAAGTAGCACCGACTAACCTTTACGTGGGGCTTGATATTCTTTGAAAATAAAAGGAGACTGTCACAGGATTTTGTCATAGTGGTGGAATTTTTAGGTTTCGAAAAACTTTGAGCTGAAAATGGTCAGGAAGTTGGGCTTGAAGATTAACACACTGAATATCGTTCACTGTGGCCCAGCAATAGTCTCAATTTAAAAAGAGAAATCTAAAGTTACATGTACATGTAAATTTGCCATGGCATTGCCTAAAAGGGACTGTAACTTTCTTTGTTTACAACAGCCAAAAGGTTGAAATCGTGCGTGACTTGAGTCAACTGGCAAAAGTCATCAGCGATCTGATCCCAGAGACGACATACAGGGTCACCATCCTTGCTATAAACGAGAATGGCGCTGGAGCATCGTCAGATATCCTTGTTGTTGAGACTTTGCCACATGGTAGGGGATTGATTCATCATTTATATCTGAACCCCAATACTAGAAAGCTTCTCTTACTTTCTCTCTGTCTGTGCTGTCAAGTCACTAGAAGTCATTTCCACTTACACAAGTGAATTTTGAAGGATTTACAAAGGTCATACAAAGTGGATATTGGAAAAAAGAAGGACTTGCGTGTAGGTATAACTTGAGTCCTTTTTTAAAAACATCTGAAAATAAATACCAAATACATTTCCAAAACTACCATGGAATGCTGTAACTCTTCAAGAATTTCAGTAGAATTCAAACATAATTTGTCACATGGCTTCAAAGTGGATTGAGTTCGAGAAATCTATTGACTTGGAATGGTACATGTACCCTCAACTCACCTGTGCTGTCTGACTTGTCAGGGGACCAGATTTTCATGGACTTCAGAACAGTTCATTTGAAACTCGTTGGTACTGACCACTCCAGCATTTTGTGATTGAATCTTTGTTAATTCCTGCAACAACAGGGGAGTATCTAGGGCCTCCAACCAGTGTACGTGCCCGACCAGAGGAAGGAAGTTGTACTGCTCTCTTGGTAACATGGCAAGCCCCTCAAGGAGATGTCTTAAACTACAAGGTCTATTATGCAGATCTTAGCGCTGGGGTGTCCCAAGAACTTGAACTGTACACAGAGCAGAACTTCTATCTGATCACTGGCCTGAAACCATATACAAACTATGGTTTGCGTGTGGTCGGATACAATATCAATGGACCTGGCACATCATCTGAGAACCTTGAGGCCTCAACATCCCAGTGCAGTAAGTGTGCTCAGATTGTTTTTTTAGTCGTTTTTAGAGGTTGCTTGGGTCGAGATGCCTGCACTTGTGTGTAGAGTGTCCCTGGTTCGATTCTAACCCCCATTGCTGAAAATTTTCCTTTATACATGTAGATGCACTAATATGCCCGACATAAATGAACTTGACTCAAAGTTACCATTTTTTCAAGGGCAAATCTTGTTAACAGTACACGCTTAAGAATTGGTCTCATTTTTCCCTCTCAGAACCCTCAGGTATCCCTGACAACATTTCCGCAGAAGCTGACTCGACAACATCAATTACAGTAACCTGGGAACCACCACCTGTCAATCAACGCAATGGTCTGGTTAACGGATACAAGATGAAGTACCGTACGAAAGAGAATGGGAAGCGGACTCACTCATTGATCATCGATGGCAATGAGAGATCTTACACCATATCAGGTACTCCACGGTGTTAATGCTAATACACCCTGCTCAGTCGTCTTATCAAACAATCCTCCACAAGTCTCTGGTAAAATTCAGTATGTTTTTGATGTTGTGCAGTTGAGTACAGTAAAGGAGTTCCTCTAGTTCCCCGTACATGATGTCATTTCTGTATTATACATTTACATCTAGGAACCAGACAAAGGAGGTGGTCTTATGTCCTGTGTACATGTACAAGCTGAAAATGCTTTTAAACAGTAAAAAGTACAGGGGCCAGTCTATTTTAATGTTGGTAACGGCCGTCATTACATGCGCATGCAGTCGCGATGGACATCACACGTTTTATGTATATCAGAATATACCACAATTCATGGACACTCCGGTGTAAGATAACACTGCTACTATGGATTGGCCAATCAGAAATAAGAGTTAAAGTTTCCGTAAAGACAAACTTGATTTTCTGAAACTTCTTAGTGACAGCAACTTGAAAAACGTGCAATTGTTCCTACTTTCTCAGGGTTGGTAAGAAACACCGCTTACGAAGTCAGAATGGCTGCGTACAACAACAACGGCACTGGGCCCTACTCTGACTGGATCGAGATTACCACCCTTGACATTGACAAGAATGGTATGAAAAGAACAACCTTCACAGAGTTGATTTCAGTCTTGAGGTTATACAAGGTTCATTGTAAGACTTCGATGTAAAAATACACCTCATGTTAAAAAGTGAGAGGGTACAGAAAGGATTCTGGCTGTAGGAAATTAAATGATGTGCCCAGTAATGACCAAAATAAATTAAGGTGTTTTTTTAGATTGAATGAAAACTTACCTAACTAGAACCATTCCTGAGTGGAACATTAATACTTTTGACTGTTGTCCAAGTTTTTCCTTGTTAAATATATTTTCCCTGAATTACGGTTGGTTGATAAGTACAGTTGGTTGGTTGTTTGGGTAATTTCTTCATAATATTTCCCCCACATCTGTTTGAAAAATAGTCTGTATCTGTAGAACAAGATTTTATCAAGTCTACTATTTAAAAATCTCCCTCCAAAACTCATGGAATAATGGTCCAAATCAAATTTGTTCATTTCACAAATGCATCCATTTCCATTTGACAAAGCACAATTGTAGTTAATGTGACTTTCATTAAAAATTTATCATTTCATGTTGCATTTCAAATCAATATGGAAAGAATGCGTTCGTATTTGGTTTCTGTTTCAATTAATGGCCTGATCAAACGTCTGATCTCAATTCAAAAAAGTGGCAGTTGCATCATGTATAAAAAGACAGTCGAACCAGCAAGAGTAAGTTATTTGACAGTTATTACTGGTCATGCATTGGCTCAACATTGTATTCACATGAATAAGGCACTGATCTTCCAACTCAAAAATGCAGGGTGTTGGGAAAAACATGCTTTTCCTTCTAACTACTGATAGATGCTTTATTTTCGGCAGGCTGTATTTCACCAAAGAGTGCTGAGAGAAAAACCAAAAATGTGAGGGAAATTTCCTCATCCCTCCATGGAAGCCACTTCACCATTCCTGTCTTCTTCACAGTGATCGTAGCAATGTGGTCAGGAAAGTTTCTACTCAGCACCTTTGGGAAATAAAGCTTCAATGATGATTTTTGTCAATAACCATCGTAGTAATTTTTAACATTTCTCCTTTTTCACTTTTCTCTTTCCTCATTTCTGGTTTACTCTGCACCTGTCTCTGTTAATATTACTATTTTCATGTATGTTTTATGTGGTGTCTTAATGGCTTTACATTGCTCCCCTGTCTGACTAAATTGGTCCTTTTTTTGCTGCCCTGGCAATTTTACTTCTGCTTGATTTTCCCTCTGTTCTGTTTTATTTAACCTCCATCATTCCATCATCCCTCCACTTATTTATCTTGCACTGTGGCGGTTGATGCCCTGTCTGTATTTGGCACTTGTTTTGTCCTATTTGTCGGCGTTTGTCCTACTATGTGTGACTCTTGTGAAAAATAGAGAATCGCGTACCCCCACAACCGTTATCTATCAGGACCACCACAACCCATAACAGAATCGACGTGTTTTGGGAACCCCCATCGGATGACTCTATCATGGTGCGGGGTTACATCCTTGGCTATGGGGCGAGTGTTCCAGACTCCTTGCTGGAGCGTCTGCCTAGCTCCGAAACCCAAGTCAGCCTTACAAACCTCCTTCCTAGTACTCTGTATGTCCTCAAACTCCGAGCGTTCAATAAGGTCGGTGAAGGGCCGTCCTTGTATATTGACGTACAGACGAAGCAGCCTAGTAAGTTGACCAGTTCTTGCTTCTTTAGCTTGTCTGGTGTCTTCATGTTGCTGATTGGTCAATTTCTCTCTTAACAATATAACTCAACAAAAGTATGTTTTGTATGCTTGCTAATATCTTTCCAATTTAGACCATTCAGTAATTGGTTAAAAAATGGAAATTCTAATGGGACCAAACAAATGATGCTTGTGCTGGCATTCTGTAAATGCACGGGAGAAATTGATTAATCAAGGCCTGTATGAATATATTAATACAAACTTTTACTCATGCCAGTAATTTAAACACTACATTTCTTTTCATCCTACAAAAGCAATCGTTTCTTCATTAACAGATACCATCAGTGAAAAACCACCTCTTCCAATTTCTATTCATTAGTCACTGCAGTATAATTTCAAAGGAATGTTTCTTGTGGATTTTTTATGATGTGATGACCATCTTTGTTCGGAGACTCCTAATTAGACAAGACCAAAGATGGCTGTGGTACATATTACATATATCATAGAATTGTTCCCATAAAAAGAAACATTCCTTCTAGAAATAACCTATGATCATTGCAATTTCCATCTTCAGCATTATCCTAAATCATCACTACATAGCCAGTGCCCTTTGACCTTTCCTTCAATGGCTAACAGCATCTAAATATTCGGACCATTATCATGAGTTTCTTTGTTCAGGGAATGATTGTCCAAACTTTGCCTGAAATCAAAACAAACCCAATGGTAGTTTATTTTTCCATTTAGTCCCATTTTTGGCATGAGTCCAATCAAGCATGACTTCAGTATATATTCATGTGTTTATAAGATATCTTTAGATCATTGTTGGTTGCAAGACTGCATGAGGAGAGCGTTTATTATATATTCGATTCAGTTGACATGTCAATTTATTTCGACATTTCACAACATTTTAACCTTGTTGATTAACTTTTTGTTTTAACCTCAGCAGTTTTCATCAAGGATGTCGTGTCCTGGTCTCTTTTTTTACTTTTCAATGAGTTTTATGAAGGACCAAAAACTTCCTGGTAAAAGATCTCCCTTTTTTTTGAGGGGGGGGGAGAATTTTCATCAAAACCAACTTTGTCCCCAAACACATGCTAATGCAGAGTTTAGCAAAGAATTCTTGTCCATTCCTTTGGGACATTCAACTAGGGCTTGGGCAGGAATGCTTGTTACTTTTTAGTGGGATGCCAGCTTCCATAATCCCACAAACTTTCCCCCAGCAACATTTCTCGTCTGTCAATAAAAGACTGTTCATTCCCTACTCCGCAGCGATAGGCCCTAGCCCAACAAGGATTATACACGTAACTACAAGTAAGATTCCATCTGCCAGAGCAAAAGCAAACACTACCCACATCTCCCTGGATATTTTGTTTGTGTTGATTTTTGATTTTTTTTCAGGTGTTTTTGTTGTGTTTTCAGATAGTGTAGTTGTTGCCATGGTAATGTGTTTTCATAAAGCCCCTTCAGAAAAAGCAGGTGCTACAATTGTTACTGCTTAGATGCACATTTCAATTTACATAAAGGAAAATTGAATTTAGTACATTGTTTCATTCATTGTTTTAAAGTCTAATTTTTTCTTGTAATTGAAGAAAAAAAATATACCTTAACTCACTTAATGACCACTGAACTATAATATTAAAGTCAAGGGTATGAAAATAAATTTTGTGAGATGTGTGTCATTTTTTTTCTTTTTTTTACCATCCATATTGTTTTTGTGCATCATCATTGGCTGCCTGTTTTATTTGACCTTTGACCCATTGTGAATGTATAATGTAACATTACCCATCATTTGACAGCAATGCCATTTCATACTATGAAGTTGAGTTGTTTGTATTTATTGTGTTTACCATCACAGCCATCAAACGGATTCTTTCATCACATCAAGAAGCTGTTTTGTGTTCTTGTTTGTTGGACATATATGCAGATCCTAACTCAGTACATACGTGCATTTGAGCTCTTCAGTCATTTTGTTGGAATTAGAAAGTTTGAAAATAAGCAAACTACATGTACATGAAATGTGAATTAATACCCTTTTTCTTGGGGAAAAATATTGATATCTGATTGAAACATTTTTGTTCTTGTAGCCAAAATGTCTGCTTAGAACACATGGTAGCATTCCCAATGGTTTATGGAAATCACATCACCTATTAAAATCTCACAGCTTACAAGTGACAAAGATGAGAAATACTGCAAGTAGCATGTGGTCTTGTGGACAGTTTACAGTATACTGTACCAAAACCCAAAAGCCCAGCGCCAGGGAAAAAGTTTGATGTTGAAACAAAATTGAAATTACAATGACGAGGCATATTGAGCTCTGAACAGACATTGTGTATTGCGTCAGTCCAGTTGCATGCAGTCTGTGTTTTGTAATCGTCCAATCAGGGAGGGGCTTGCAAATCTATTGTTCATCCTCCCTCTGCTTTCATTAATCTAGGAACAGCCAAACCTTCTGTGCCAATGGAACTCAAGGCCACCGTGACTTCACCCAATTCTATCCTCTTGACTTGGAGGGACCAGGATTACAGTCCAGATGACAAACCTCCTGATAGATACTACATCGTCCAGTACGAGACTTCTAGCAAGTGAGTGTCATCAAATGAACTGGTTAGGTTTGTTGTTGACAGGTGCAGAAAAGAAGCAGACGGGAGTAAGATGAAGAGAAGAAAAGCTATGATGTGAGGCTATGTAGCCTCTTGTGTACAGTACAATCACAACTTGACATGTGTCAGTGTCATTCTGAGATTTGCTTTAGCCAGAAGTCATCATGATGCTAGATGATAAGAAATGTAACCTTACCCTTTCCTGCATTTTTGTCTTAGGGTGATGTTCGAGAACTCCTCTGATACCTCCATCGCAATCAACAATCTCTCTCCGTACACAAAGTACTTTTTCACAGTGGTAGCTGTTTCAGGAAATCGTGAGAGTGGAGTCAGCATGCAGGCATTTAATACTACTTTTGAGACTGGTAATTTCTTCAAGATTTTCCTTTTGTTCTTTTGGTGCAGAGCTTGGCTGTAATTAAAGACAGCATTGATTGAGCTGTGTTTTTATGAATTGGCTAAGAGATTTGGCTTTTCTTTCTTCTTTCAATGTTTTTATTAAGTAAATTTTCTCCAACATTTCTCAAACCTTAATGGCAAGAAATGAATTTTTCAAATGAAATCCCCACTACTTATGCAGATGTGTGCTGTGTTATTTAGTCCTTCATAAGGGTTATTCTTCCTTTTGTTTTGCTATTTTACCAACAAGCAGGGCCCTTTTCTGACGAATAGTTTATTTTGCTTTTTAACTTAGCTCCAACCTCTCCACCAAGATCACTAACAATTGATGATGTCAAGAACTCAACAACTACCCTGGAATTGAGGTGGCAACTGCCCAAGACTCCCAATGGTCAGATCACAGGTAAGATGAGGATGAGATCAGTCACGCATTAGGATCACAGTTTGCTGAGATATAACCTGGTTTCGTCATGAAGTGTTCCCTTTGTAAAGTTGTGTAAATGAATGGACTACAACTAGTACATGTCTATGGAACATAGCCACAGCTGGTAGCCAATGGCTTCCATAGGCCGACATGTTATTTCTGGCCACAGGCATAACTTTGGACTTTGGTACCGGTATCAAGGACTTGTTTTTGCAAACCCACTGTTATTGTTGATCCAGAAACCAGACCAACGAGGCTACCATCTAACAATGACACACACCACTCATTTCCCTCTGTCTTGTTGACACACAGGATACACCATTTATTATTCTGCCATCGATTCAAGGGAGGATTCTGACTGGACTGATGTGACACTTGATGGGGAGGAAGTAACTACATTGATCTCCGGGCTGACTTCAGGCACCATTTACTATTTCAAGATCCAAGCTCACACCAGCAAGGGAGCAGGTCCTATATCGGAGGTTGTGTCTCACACTACACCGGGTAAATGTGAAGAGTTGTTACACTTGTGCTTTAGTTTGGATTTGTAATGTGCTGTAATATATTTTTGGTTCTCATAATTCTCTCTTTTTTTGGGGGGGGGTAAAAGTAGAAAAACATATTTAACATCTCATCACTTAATATTTTCTGATTGGTTTTTCCCTTTTCGAAAAGTAACTTATGAATCATCTACATATCTTCACAGATTGTTGAGTAGTCAGACAATTCATTATATCATGCCTAAGGGAACTATTCACCAACAGTACTATGCACAAACTTTGTCCACCAAATTTTCATGACGCCCAAACAAAACAAAAACTTCTAACAAATTAGCACATTTGTTCCTCAATGCCCAGTTTGTATTAAGAGCACTGAACCATTGTTATAATGTCATAGATGTTGAAGTGCATTAATTTTTGTGTGTGTGTATTTCATCCAACCCTTTCCAACATGCCACCACCTCTGCTTGCATCACTGATATCACCGTCATCCTTGCTTTGTGTACACACTCTGGTCTGCTGTATAGTCGGTAGACCAGTAGAACCTGGGCCTCTCAATCCAGGTAAGACAAATGGAGACAATTGTCAAAGAAATTCTTCCTCCTTCACTATCAACTTCATTTCATGCCCTGATTGTGTATTAGAGAGTGTCAGGAAACTTCAGTTTGAAGAGGGGAATAGGAAGGGATATCCAAGGTACATTTCCACAGTTTGGGGACAAGTGACTGGCAAACTATGAAGCATTTTTGAAGTGGATTTCAGTATGACATTGTATGAATTTAACTGTGTTAGCAGAAGTCTGGCGAGAGATCTGATCTGTTTTGTGACCTGCTAATGACGCAGTACGATGTTTCCAGTGAGTGGAAATTGGCAACCCCAAAGTGAATAATTCTCTCCAGAATTAAGTAATACATTTCATTTACCATATTTACAACTTGCATGTGCGACACAGCCTTTTTATGAAGAATTTAAAATCAAGCAAGATACTTTGCTCAAATCTTTCATATAAGGCCCTTTTCAGTTACCCATAGACCTGTTGAGGAAAACTATTTAAGAGAGTCAGCAATGTGCTAATTGTGCCAACAATTTCTTCACCTTTACTGCGTAGCTTTGGACTTGCCCACAATACCTCTGCTGCCTGACAGGCCTCTAATACCTGCCAGACTCCCAAAGCCTACGGCAGAAGAAGGTGCTGAAACCTGAAACTTTCAAATTTTGCATCTTCATTTCCTCCTATTCACCTTCCAAAATAAGGATTGAAGTAAACAAAAGATTCAGCATGCCATATTAACTTGTCTTTTGAATGTAGTTTTTTTCATGGAAGTACTGTTGTAGCACAGTCCATGATATTTGACACCGTTTTTATTAGTGTGAGTTCTACCTCCTTTTTTTCCTATCTTGTTGTGGTTGTCCTGTTAAGTCAGTAAGATTCGGAACCTTTGCTGTGATTTGTTCTGTGTCACCTTTCCTATTGTTTGCTTTTTCCTGTTCTTAATTATCAGCAAGACAGTCCCTTGGGTGTCATTTTCCACACATCCGTGTAATTTCACTGTTACTTTGATTTTCCAATAGCTTTCCAGACTAGAAACTTTGTTGAGTGCGTTCAGTTTTGTGCAAATCCTTCCCCTATAACAGTTTCATGGGTAGGATACCAGTGATACCAGGATACCAACTTAAGCACTTATCTGATATTTGTGCTTGTTTATTTCATTTTTCAGTCCATTAAAAAGGAAAAGTGAGAGTTCATTTTCCATTGCTGTGATTCCATCCTTTTCTCTATTCACCTCAGGGGTTCGTTTGTCAGTTTTGACATGCTTATTTCATATGTTGTGGTCTTTGAAATGAACCGTTTCACTTTGCTGTCGTAGTAATGGTGTTTCAGAGCTCTATGAGGATGGCTGGTTTTAAGAAGTAAATTTCTGGAATGAATTTGTGATATTTGTTGTCTGAGACAGAGCCTACATCACCACCTCCACTGGCCAATGCCGAGGCGATGGGTTTCCCATGGTGGTTGTGGTTGGTGATCATCTTAGCCATTCTCTTCATCATCATCATCGCTGTGCTGTTGTTGCTCTGCTTCCTCTGTGGCTGCTGTGCCTGCTGTGCCGACTGCTGTCCCTGCTGTGCTGCCCTGTGTGAAGACGCCTGCGGTTGCTGTGCACCATTTTGCGGCCCGCTTGCTGCCTGCATCGCAGCGTGCTGCCCTTGCTGCTGTGAGGATGAAGATGATTGTGCCAAGTGCTGGTTGAAGTGTTGCTGTGGGGCTGCAGCCTGTGTCTGCTGTGGTCATTCATACAGAGAACGTAGAAAGGCCAAGGGCTCTGCGTAAGTTGAATAACACAGACTTCCAAAAGTGAAACGAACATTTTTATCACAATATCTTAGCTGGGGACCATTTCCTCTCATTCCTGAAATCATCTTTGAACATTAGAGGTACGGTACCATTTAGATAGATGGATAATGATCTCTGCCTTGCCCCATAAAGGTCAATTACACAACCTGAAACTATGCTGTAAGACTTTTTGGAAATAATGGTAAAAAAATTCCTTTGGTGAAATCTTACAAGTAATTCCATTTTTTCATTTGGCATATGGTGCCATATTCCCTCTCATTCCTAAATATTCTGAAGTGATTGACATCATTCCAGACTTAAAGGAATAGTTCTTGTTTGATTGACAGCAATTTGGTCGGCTACCAGTCTGTGTCGCAGAATGGCAAGGTCAGTGGCACTGTGCCTCCTGATCTTTGGATCAACCATGAAGGTGTAGAGATGAAGAAAGTTGATGGCAAGAAAGGTGGGATAGCTGTCAACTCAAAGGCAGAGGAGAGAGAGCGATTGGAGCAAGGCGGAGGAGTGGACCAGCAACGAGGTAAGGCACAACACTTTTGTCTTGTCTGCTTAAATAAAAATGTTGAAGTGCTATACTGTGAATTCCCAAAGTTGCTATATCAGAGAGCGAACAGAACTTGTCTTTCAGCATGAACTGCCCAACAGAGTATAATTAGGTACTTGGCAGGAGTCAGCAGGGAACCAGTCACTAGCATTAGGCATTGCATGACATTTTAGCTGGTAACCGGTATCTTGTAAAGTGTTGCATGTACTCGGCCAATTTCTGTTTAAGCAGCTAAAATTGGTTCTCGATGGATCACATAACATGAGTGGTGATAACCCGCTCTGGGTACAGTGCATGATTTTCTTAGAAAAAATAAACTTGGCTCATATTATCCAATGATTTCTAACTTGATTTCTAGACCAAGTCCAAGAGACGTCTTTCACCCAGTCCTCAGTACAAAACCAGCAAGGTAAGCTTGTTGATGAATTGTTGAGGTTTTTAAATGTTCTCGAGAACATGAGGTAGTGTTGGTACAGTGGCATTTTAAACATGGCAAAGTTGAATAGTTGTTTTCGAACATGTGATGTTAAAGAGGTTTTAAAGTCTGAAACGGTTGTATGATTCATGTTCATTTACTAAAGTGTCTTGAACCAATAGTGGTTTATTGTTTTTCTTTTAGTGTGCGACTTAACTTAGGATACTTTTAACTCCAGTTACTAAGAGTTGTGATTATAGCTACACTTGTTAACAACAACTTGTTGGACCTGTTCAAAACAGAGGTGCCAAACTTAGCACAAGTCTTAAGCAATGTTGACGTCTCCTCATCTGTGCATAGTGGTTTGGCAGGTGAGACAAATTGTTACCAAGCTGACACAGTAACCATGGAAATGCTGGTATCCAGATGCATCTGCTGACTACAGGAATTCATAGATCATGTTTGGTGGCCTTACTTTAATGCATTCATAAATATGACTAAAGTTGCATTGCAATGGGTTTAATCACATGTGGAATAATAACTTGTTCAAAGCTGCAATTCGGTTTCATATGTACATGTAGGAAGAAGGCACATCCCTACATGTAACAGTAACGTACGTAATTAGGAAAATAAATTAATACCCATTTTTTCCCACAGATTCAAGCTAACACTAATACATAGGTCTGCTGTTTTCTGTGGATGGCTTAAAAGCATTTGAGATTTTACCATAGACTTGTTTTTCTTGATATCAAACTATTTCATGGGATTATATGAGAAATTTCTTGTGTCAAGTTGTGGAAAACTATTGGTGAGAGGGCTATGGCATTTGTTCAACTGTGACATTGTGACATTTTTCGTCTGTATAGCCAGTCAACATGTCCTTCAAAAGGTTGGGTTTACTTCTTACCAACATGTCCTGAAGTTACTGCTGAAATGTGGAGTTTCCTGTGGGCTGTGCATGCATCACTGTCTTCTCTTTTGCCCAGTCTTAGGAGTATTTGACAGTTCGTGATTTGCTGGTTCTAACAGACTTGCTGGTCACACACACTGATTCACTTACAGCTGGTTTTTCTCTTCAGAGGAGAGGACTTTATTGAGCGGGTCTTCACAGCAGGTGGAAGGGTGAAACATTCTCTGCAAATTTTGCAGAACTTTGGAAACCATAAGCTGAAACATTTCCTCTCTGTCACAATTTATCCAAATGAATCATGCAGGTGGCTCACATGGAATTTGTTCAATCGCTAATGATTATTGTTTATCCAGACCTTCGATCCGTAATCCTTTAAAGGAGCAGAACTAACTTAAAGGTATTTTTTATCTTTTTTAAGACGTCGGTGGCATTACCTTGTTACTTTCTGCATGTCTGTGCTTGTTCTGTGATCTCAGTTGTAAGCCACATTCAAACTATTCATCTCAGCTGTCATTGTGAACTTACACAGTGGATGTACATGTTTGGTTACAGCAGGATATGTTTCTACAACGAGGCTCAAAGAATTACAATCAGATTGCAATTATTGATATCTGCAAAAGTTGGACTCAGTCCTTTCATTTAGCATAACCCAAAACTGTTTCGGATATGATTTCGTTTTACTTCCCTTACCCAGTTTGTACTTCATTCTGGCTTTAGCTAGCTCATCAGAACTGAATTCAACCTTGTACAAATTGTATTCTTGTTCGTACGTCTTTTCAGCTTCTGTCGGCTGTCTGAAAAGAAATCATCCTTTCTCTGAATATTACCCTCAATCCAAAAAATGTACTCGCAAGACAAACCATACTTTTCAAGAGTTCAAATTTGTACCTTCTGGTGATAAAAAGGGCATTAATGTCAATCTGGTTGTAAAAGAGCCATGCTAACAACAGATGACACTGGTCCTTGCTGGCTGCTTGACAATACATTTTTTATTGTTCATTTATGTGTTGTGTTTATTAAAGTGGATTTTTTTTATCTTGCCTGCTTTCTTACATTTTGCATGTTTTTGTTCAAGAGTGATGCCTTACATGTCACATGACCAGCATCAATTCATTAATGTATATGTTATGTATCCATCAGTTGATATTAGTTTTCTAAACCCTATTACTGTGCATCTTATGCTTTTCAGATTTTTTATTTGTTGTTTGTTTGGAGGGAAAGTTGTTTTTATTCTGTTCACTGCCCGTTTCATTCTGAGTGTTGTAAACTAGAAAAAAGTTTGGTTCGTTCATGACTTCATGTTGTATGTGAGATATATTTTGCAAAAGCATGTTGCATGACTCCAAGAAGACATTTACATTTGAGAGAATCAAGTTCACAAATAGTAGTCAGAGGAAATAAATGAAACTATGACAGTGAGCGATTCATTTACTAGACATAACACTGATTAATTGTAAGAATAAAGTGATGTATCAGTTACGTGATTCATTTAAATCTCTGAAATGAACTCACTCTAATTAATGTTCCTACCTTGACAGTGCCACAAATTGTTATACATAAGTCCAGAACATTTCTGTTCAATTCTGAAAACCTTAGAATAAGAATCTTCAACACTCACATGACGTCACCATTTCCATGGATACCCAACACCAAAAATCCACCATCTCACATTTATACAGCATGTGTGACCCTTGACTCCCAACCTTTGACCCATACCTGCATGTTCTGTCTTCCATCCCTGTATATGTGTCATGCATGCCTTGTTCTTTGTTTTTATCTCTATGGCCTGGTCCCATAGAGTCACGTATGCAGGAGTGTATGGAAGAACAAACAGGGTCTAGCAACAGACAGAGCCAGTACGAAACCCCCACCCTGATATCTGCTACATCACATCGGTCATCTCTGGAATCAGGTAATGAAACCCCTTCCCCTCTCCACAAATCTCCCCCACCCCTTCCCCAATGCCCCCCCCATGTCTCAGCCAGCATAAGTAGTCCCTCGCTTGTCCTTCCACAGCAGTGTTAATGTTAAACAAAATGAGAGCAGGCTTATTTGTTGTCCTGCCTAAGGTGCAATACTTGGAAACTGCAGGTTTCAGATTTCTTGGTCGTCATATCCCCCTAAGGGTGGACTAATGATCTCATTTACTTTGAAAATTGTGTCACGTTTTGCACATTGGACAGCTCTTGTTTTGGGTATTTCATAAATGCAGCTGAGCATCAACATCAGTATCAACAGGAAGTTTGACATTTTTTGAAAATTCCATCCACGTGTTCCCTGACTGCATTTTTGCATTCCAGTGTCACAGATTCTTACGACAAGTCACGTGACAGGAAAAGCGTTTTAGAGAACCTTATATCCCCAAAGATTTGGAAGTCAAACCAGAAATGCCCAAAACATGCAGCCTTCATTGTAAAGATATTCATTTGCAAAGCCCGATAATAAACTTCCAAGCCATGTAATAAGCAGAACCTGCAAAGTTCAAAGTTCAACCCCTGTTGTGTATTTAATGCGCCACAAAGCCTTCCATAAATAACCTTTGTCTGAATAGTCTGTGATCTTAATCATGAACGCATGTCATCGTCATTGTGGCTCTCTTGGGACCAGACTTTAAGCCTGTGTATGGTCTATCTTTTAAGATACATTGGTAATGTCTGAATTCTTTCAGACGTCAGCATTCCATTTTTTTCTCGTTTTCCATTTTGCTCGGTTAGCTATGGGATCCAATAATACCTCCCAGCATTCCCTAACAGCTTGCCACAAATCTGCTGACTATCAGCCATTCTATCCATTTCACTCCCTCCCCCAGATCTGCATGTAGGAGGTACTGGTTCTGGTGCTGTTCATTATGCAACAGTAGATGGTACGTAACAGACAAGTGGAATTTCTCAACTCATCCTTTTGGGCAATCAACATTTCAGATAGATATCAGCAGAACACAATATTTTTTCCTGCAGTCGTCTAGAAAAACAAACCTCATCAAATGTGTTATAACCAAACTGTAGGAAATTTTTTTTTCTTCAGCCAATTCAATTATTCATCTTTCCAAACTTGGTGTCATTTGGTTCAAATATGCTCAGTATTGTTCATCGTTTTTGGCAATAATTCATGCAATTATTTTTATCCTATTTTTGCATTTTGCACTGTTAATACCATTTCTTCATAATTTCCTACTTTTTCTTGGTCTTAACAGTTTTTCCCATCTTGTCCTCGTTCATAGCTGATAATTCTTATTGTACATACAGTACTACTTGTATTGTAAACAGCATATTTTTTATGATTGATTTAATGAAAATAATATGGAATTAAGACCTAAAAATAATCACATTCAAACAATATAAAATATCCAATCAGATTTATCAGTTCAATTTTAGAATTCCACGCATGAGGTGCGTCTGTGCTCAGCAAAGCCCATTGTTGGAGAAATTGCTGAAACTTATCCCAAATTCTCACTAGCTATTCATCCTTAGTGGACTGTGATCTCACATCCTGCATGAACATGGAAGATTTTCAAGTTTGTCACCAAGATTTTATGCTGTTTGCTAAGAAGAAAGAGCTTGCCCAGGTGTGCTTGCAGATTGGATAACAGCAAGAAATTGTCCACATTTTTGTTCAATGGGCGGGGGTTTGTGTACCGATTTTTCATACATAGTTTTACCAGACAGAATTAGCCTTTCCAGTTAAGTGTGGTTTTAAGCACATCAGAAGTTGTAGGGAAATGGTCTGACTGTGGACTGTATCGGTGTGCTGTTTTCTTAATCTCAGAAATGCGTCGAAAGAAAAGCAGCCTGAAAGAAACGAGACAAGAAGCAGGTATCTGATGCTTCAGCGTGTCACTGTAGCCTAGATAGTTAGCAAAATAGCCTAAATAATCATAGGAAGTTATCATACTCACCACACGCTTCAGTTAGCATGTTGCACCGACCATAACCATCTAGAGTAACAGTTCTTGTAGATCATTATCATCCAGTCATGTAGATCGAGACAGAGCAAACTACCCTCATTCATTCCGTACATAGCTTATAACAACTTGATAGGAGGTTAGGTACCCTGCCCCCAGGGTACAGTTTAATGGTACAGCACTGCTTAACTTTTTAAAACCAAACATACAAATTTGAGCACATTTTACTACCCACGGAAGTGAACATTATAAGTATATTGAAGTCGGTAAATGTTGCAGACAAGTTAATGTATTCCTTTTATCTTCAAAGCAAATAAGAACGATTCCTGATATGCTCTTGTGGTGTTGTGTTCCGTTACATCAATGCACTTTAAAAATTGTTTCTGGCTTAATTCCCCTTAATTAGAAAACTTCAAGACGATATTCTGACATACTTCAGAGTCAAGTAGTTGGGTTAGCAAAAGACTGACCTCTTGACAAGTCTGGGCTACTTTGAAAATTCTCATTGTGTATTGATATTTTTCTGCTTTGTTCATAATATTCCATAGGTTATTCCATTATTTCATAATAAATCAAGGATGGCTGTCTTTCCATTACTCAATTTTTAACAAGGCATCCAGCTATTCCTCATAATCTTAAGGGTGCTGAAATGTCCATCACTCTTAAAATGCCCATGTCTTTTTATTTTTACTCATTTTCCAGCTAACTGGGGCTCAATTGGTAAAGCTAACCCCCGACCCTTGACCCCCAACCCTGAAGCATCCCTCTTTGGTCCTCAAGTTCCCCCTCCTTATCAACGCATCGGCTGTATTAAACGCGGCCAGCGCCCTAACTTTACAGAACAAGATGCTAACACAGATACCATACCATTGGGATCCAGTGCTGAAGACTTTGCCAGACAGAGAGGTAGATACGTGCATGTAGTTGATCAACTAACACAACACATCCAGTCCATGCACACCCTATAGAGGGCGCCATTACAGTGCACTTCAAATCCCTACTCAACATGCACATTGTTAGCACACATTCTTTTCAGAACAGTAATATAGGTTTCTCCATGCCAACTGCAAATTTTGGAGTACCAACGACATATTCTAGAACTTGAGATTTCAAGAATAACTTCTTTTTCAGAACGTCTGCATTCAAATTCTAAAATCAGTGAAGAACAAGCAATTCAGAACAGAAAATATTTGAAGTTTGATAAACATAAATTTATCATTTTTTATGACAGTAGCTGCAGTCGGTTAGGGGAGCAGAACTCAGTGAAATTTTCGAGTTTTTGCGCCCAACCTTTTGTAGAAAATATTCTGATGCAGGTTAAATTGAAATGGATTTAACCAATGACAGACATTTTACCTGGTCGACTATTTTTCTAGCAAAATCTATCAAGTAGGCACCTTGGCACCCTTGTTACTTCAAAGCTTACTCTGTTAGCGGTTACTCTTTGGTTTTCAGAACTGCATGGTGTGGGAAAATACTAAAATTCAGAATAACTGGTGGTGATGTAGCTCACTAACATATAGGCATGTGCATGGAAGGTTTGTGTTTATTGGAATGGGGATTGTACTAATTGAGCTTGGAACACAAAGAGTCCATAACTGTCCCTGTGTTAACTTTTATGTTTGAATGTTTAATACAGTCCGAGTGGTCTGTTTAAACGATTAATGAAAAACTTAAAAATTGGTTATGGATAGAGGTTTTTGTTTTGTTTTACCGTCACATTGTTCAAATCAGCTGTTTTGCTGTGCAAAATTGACCTTTTTACCTTCAGTGATCAACACCATTTCATGGTGGAACATTCCTCTCAATATAATTTAGTGGCGTGAAAAAGTTGCCAACTAGAGTGACTTCTTTCTTGATTAACCTTCCCTGTCTTGAACAAACCTTTTGTCAATTTCCACTCTGTTGCTTTGTGTGCTCCTTTATTAACCTTGCAAACCTTTTTTCTTTCTTTGTGCATTCTTCTTTCTGGACAGCACCATCAATAACAATTTCTCCGCCCCAGACTCAAACACAGACCCTGAACCGATCAGAGGTCCAGAACAGAGCAGGTATTAATTTTCCTCCTGGGCAAAGCCAAATACTGGGGGATGGGGACTCCAAAGATTGTTTTTAATATTTAATATTTTACTTGTTGGTCTAGTTTTCATGGTATTTCTAAGATTGATTACATAGCAGAAAATTCTATAAAGACTCGCAATTAATTTCATGACTGATGCTTCTGTAATTGTCTCACACTAATTTTCCTGTTTTTTTTTTTCAAACCAACTGTCAAAAAAAGACCAATCCAAGCAATTTGAGTGTTCACTGTTGTTTGCTGGTATTTAAAATTGTAGGTTCAAAATCCCGTGCTGAGAAAAAGTTGAATTTCTTCTTCATTTGGCCAAATTATGACAAGACCGGTAAGGTATAGCTGATGACAGAGTTGAATACCAGCAAAAAAGTCCTTAAGGAAGAGTTATTTATTCCTGAAGATGTGACAAAGATTTTGATAACTTCAACTTAACAACTCCGATTCTTTCAAAACCTTTTCCAAATGAAAAGAATGGCTACTGGCTTAGAGGAATTTACCAATGACTCTTTCTCTTGATTCTTAGCTGGAGGTACAACCCCACGATATGCCACATGGGGTGCTAAGACAATTCAAAATGACCGTCAGCAATCCAATGTTAACTACAACACCACCAATATCCACGTTGAAGACGTCCGTAACAACTACACAGCCAATGATGGCTTTTCCACCCTGCGTGATGGTGGTTACCAAGGAAGCATGGGTGCCAATGGACAAACCTACAGCACATTGGACAGGCAGACATCATACAACAATGCCCACTCCGGACAGAACCAGATTATCACATTCCCAGAGCAAAATGCCGGCCCTCAACCCTTCACCATCACGTTTGAAGAGACTACAACATCACATTCTGTGGAGAAGTCGGTACCCCTACCAGATGGGACCAGCTTCAAGACATCCTCCAGCCATCAGACCTTTTCTAAATCTTACTCAACATCTGATGCCGCACAAGACCAGAATCTACAAGCCATGTTGCAAGGAGGGATAGAAAATGGACCACTAGCGATAGAAATCCCATCAACAACCAATACAGCGTTGCCAGGTAACGAGAAGTTGACATCAAATACCATCGTTTTCAAAGAAACATTAGCTGAATAAAGCAGGGAAATTTTAGTTGGAAGAAAAAGCAGTACAGACCATTGAAATGCAATGAGTTTATTTGCCAAGTGTATGTTCGTGATGTAGTTGTCATGAATAAAATTGCATAATGATTACAAGAATGAAAAACCTAAAGATAAATTTTCAGTTTTCCTGATAGAGTTAAAGGTAGTGTGTAGGATTTCCATGTACTGCAATTTGTCAAATTGGCCAATTTAGGGGTTGTAATTTACTTTGTATATTATTCCGCGAACTTTTTTTATTTTTTTAGATCACTGCTTTGAGAAAATAAAAAACTGTGTTCATTTGGATACACCTTGAAGCACAGCTCATGTTATTTGTCTTGCGAAAATCCATGGGCCACAGGTCGTTCCTGAGTGCCTATACAGTGCACAGGGGAGGTCTATCTGTAGACCGATTATGGCCCTCAGAAGTGTATTTTTCACATGGCTTCACCTAGTACCAGTGATTGGCCAAGTTACCTTCGAATTTGTGTTTCCTGTTCAACAATTTGTTGAATATGAGAATTTGTTGAATAAGCAACGTTTCATCAGGCTGTGAAGTGACTGCAGTCACCAAAGTCACTGCGTGGCCATGTACATGTGAACGTACACGTGCACGATCAACCACACAGTCATTGTTCACTCTCCACTGGTACCTATATGTACATCTGTCAAAAACTGTCCACACACCATCAGTGCCAATCATAACACTCTATAAATAAGTAAATATGGTAATTATCCTTGCATTTTGGGTAGAGAGTTTACTGTTCTTGGAAAAAACAGAAAGCTAAATGTCATGAATTTAGAAATTTGGTTCAAGAAAACCAGGATTCAGTACAGTTAATGATGATTTTAGGCTTATCAAAGGCGCATTGGCAGTTTATATATTACCCCTTAATATAGACCCTTCCAACAGCTCGATGCTTCACACGTTTTTGTTGTGCACGTTAACGGTTGCATTATTTGAACAAATTGTCTTTTCCAAAGATTATCTGTCTGTACAATTTAAAAAAAAACAAAATTTCTCTTTTCTCGAAAATGACAGCATTCTTGGCGGTAAGATTTCGCAGATTGTCTGACACTATTATGTACTTACTTTACAGTAAGATATTTTGAGATAATTCAACTGTCCCCATTTTGAGATCTTGCAAATACTATACACTGCCATTAAGAGTGCTTTCATCCAGTTTAGCTATTCTGTATTGAATCGTTCACCAAATTTTCTATTCCACAATTACCCGTCTCCACCAGCTATCGCTGCTGCTCCAGTCTACCGCTCAGCAAGCTTCAATCCAATCCCTCAGGATAGTCCCTCGACTGGCACCCAGTCCTCTAGCATCTCCAATACCTTGGGTCGTTCCCCCCCGCCTCCCAATTACAACTTCATCACTTCGGAGAACGCCTCTGCTCAGACCCAATCCAGTGGCTATGCCAGTGGAAGTATCAGTGCCAACAATCGCGGCCGTACCTCTAGTATCGGTGCATCCTCTGTGGATAGTATGGGTTATCGTAGTCGTGGAGCAGATTCCTATCTCAGCACACAGGATCAGCGGAGTAACTTTGGAACAACCTCACCAGTCAGTATCCCAGCTGCAAGCACATCTCCCTACAGCTCCAATTTCCAGACCTATGAGTCGTATCGTTCAGAGGAACGGGACAACAGTTATGGACGGTCAGCGTCGGACCTCTACGATGGGTCACCAGAAATCGGTGTGACACGTCCAAAGGCTGGCTTCCATACCATTGACCGTTCCACAGGCTTCAATGCTGACAGTGCGTATGGTAGCCCAACCAGCTTTGGCAATGGATTTGGTTCCTATGGAGGTGCAAGTACTCTTGGAAAACAACCCTCAGGTAATTGGCACTTCTCTCTTACTTACGATGCATTTGTTTCAAAGCTATTTCATTGTAGTGTGAAACTGTACACAGGGACAAATAGAATCTACCCTAGGTCTCCATATAATCAGCTTATATTTTATAATCTTCTACTTTAGCACTGCATAGCAAGTGCTTTGGAGGAAATAAAACCAAATATAAACAAAAGCCCTATTTGATGTAAAGTGGCTAAGTTGTGCCTCCTGAACCATTCAGTGGACTCCATGATCTGTAAAGTTACAGAAGTTCAGCTACATACTTTTCCCCAAAATAACTCAGCGCAGTGCCTCTCAGAGTGCTACCAGAGATTTACGATCCTGTAATCTTACAATTATCAATCTCTCTCTTTTTACCCTTCAGGAAGTCTGTCAGTCCCCTCTGCCCGTCCGGGGCACTCTTACCAGGCTAGTGCTTTTCAAAACACCTCCGAGTCTTTCAGATCCTACAACAGCGGTAATGTTGGAACCAGAGGAACCTCTCAGTTTTCCTTCAACAATAACAATGCTAGCACTGAGGAGTTGCCATCCAGGCTCGTTGAGGTAGAGCATGCTGAAGTACAGACACCTAGCAGGTTCAACAGCAAGTCAGGTGAGCTAGTAAAACCCTGTGTCTCTTGAAGGGTGATTGACAAAACCTCCCATTGAGTCACTGCTCACTACTTGTCCTTTCCTTATACTTATCACCAGCAACTTTGGGAGTAGTTTCGGCTTTTTGATTTTGTTTTGTTTGGGGCTTTTTGGAGGGAAGACTATGGATGGATTCAATATTATGGGTGCTGTTTTCAAATCTCCTTATTCTCCACTAGTAGTTAATGCTGAGATGGTTAGGACCTTTACACTAAGGTATATTCCTGAATTGTAGTTTTGCATATCTGCAGCAAAGACAGACACTTGTTAATTAATTCATACTTAAGCCTCTTCTAACCCCCCCTTTAAATGTTCGCATTATTAGCATTTCTCTCTCTCTTCCCACAGACCTCCTGCAGTCCACTAGCTCTTCCCTAGGTGGTGGGTTTGACCTCTCAACCCCGACCCGACCCCTACGACGTTCCATGTCCGTGGACAATGAGTTTGGACTGAATAACGATGGCTATTGGTCAGGTAGCAGCAAGACCAACTTGCTGTCTGGGTACCAGACCCAGAGAGAGACAAAGGAAAGCAAGGAATACAGTCTGTCCAGTGGGACCGAGACTCAACGTGGCAGGTCACGTCACATCGGAGACAGGACTTATGGGGGAATAAGCTCTCGCTCACGCTCACTGGATAGGTTTGGAGACCGTGAAGGTATCTTTGACCTGAAGAGCCTTCATTTTAAGCCAGCTGGATTGTGATCTTTCAAGCTTTCTCTTAAAATAATTTCTCTTGAAATAGATTCTACTAATGAAAATGGTGACTTTAGGGCATAACATTTAAATGGAGAAGTCTGTGTGTGTACAGTGGTGTAATTCTTAGTCAATGGTATTTGAGGTTTCATTCCTTAGGAATTCTTTCTGCTAAAAGTGGTGGCTTTTTTCAGCTAACTAACTAATGTTTCTTCCTTTTTCTCTTTATCTTTTTCCACAGGTCTATTGTTCAAAAATGTTTCCTTTAATTTCTAACCATTTCAACAGCATCCTGATATCTGATTCACCAGCTTGTTTGACAATTTTGAGGCCATTTTCTTTCCGTCTTACTTACTTTGTCACTCTACAACAGGTTATTCAACTTCATGAAGATAGTTGATCTGTTTTTAACTTTTTACAGCTGATTTTTCAAAGGTGGAAGTTAACTCAAACTTTTTTCTCAGAATTACTGTGGAAGGGCAGAACTCATCGGCTTGGGAATTGTTCCCGTTTAGGAATAACTTGGAGGGTTTCAAATTGCCATGTTTAAAATGCCATAGTTACTTTCATTACCCTGGTGGTTTCAGTGTCTTTTATCACAAAACCAACTGTTTGCTGGGCTCATTTGGAATTTTATGAATGCATCCCACAATGCATTGTGTTACCCCCTAAGCTACTTAGTTTTGGAAGGATGAAACATTTTAACAAACACATCCGTACCCTTCTTACAACCATGAGCCCCACCCTTGCCCCTTTTTGAAAACTGTGTTCCTTGGCACCTTAAAATTCATTAAAAATTTTAATTGGAAGGAATGAATGGCCTTTACAATGCATCGTGGTTTGTCATACACCCCTACAGACAGAGACGGGTACACTGTACACTAACATCTCTTGATACTAATGTGCATGCTTTTCTTTGCCCTCTGACCTCTCTTCCCGGCAATCATTACAGACCATCACGTGTCACCAGTCGGTGGTTATGATTATCACTCATCCACCCCAAGACAACACCAAATGGATCGACCTGCTTATATGTACCCTACAAACACCACATCGTCAGGTATCTTCGAGATTAAAAAAATACAAAACCAGAACCAAATCACTACTTGATGGATGTTTCTTTAAGCTTGTCAATTGTGAAAACGACAAACACAATCTCTTTTGTTCAGTCTTGATTTGAATTCATTAAGAAATCTCACTCATGTTGAACTGTGAGGCATCGTCTTCAAATTGAGATCTAGTGACTAATTATCTCCACAAATTCTATCGGCCATGTGTAGATGTCCCTATAGAATTTCTTCATTTAGGGGCTATTCTTGAGACATGCTGGTTCTGGAGTGGTGCAATCTTGGCAACGTTCCATGGCCACGTTCCATGGCCACATGCATGATTTAACTTGTGCACTTTTCTTTTGCTTGGGTTTGTTAAAAGTGACATTTGTAGTTTTTTAGGGTAAGGCTGTTTGTCTTTTATGTAATGTTTGCATTTGTTCTAATCGCGTTGCTACTATTTATTAACACCCACTGAGATACTTTGTTTCTTCGTCTAAGCTCAATTTTCCTCTTTCAAACAATTTCTCAGGTTACCATAGTGATACTAACACAACCAGTTCCCATGACGATGGCTCAAGCACTCAAGGGTCGACGTCTCGGGGTGGGAACCCCTTGACGAGTTTTAGCGTCCCCGGCCCACCTCCTAACTACCAAGCTGCTAAAGGTGACGGTTTTATTAACCTCTGACTTGACCTTTGACCTGATGCCCAAATAAGCTGAACTCTGTTAGCTGACCTTGCTATTGTTTAAAGACTGTCACCATTGACAGTTGCAGTTTGAGCAGTTAAATCTTTAAATTAACATCACTGGTATATCATAAGGAAGTTAAGAATCAAGAAAGACAGTAATAGTGTTCTGTAGAATTGGCAGAGTTTTTGAAATGCTAAAGACACATCTTTCCTTTTGTCTCACATTTGATGATGACTGGCATTTCTAATAAACGAGCTGGGTCATTTTTTATCCACTGTACACTCTGTAGTCAAGATCCAGGCTCCAGCCTACAGCCCACTGAAGCGGAACCAGCAGGCGGGTGTGGCCAGAGTTAGACACCAGCCTTTGCCTGTTGTGACTCCTAGGGCTCCCGATGTGACCTATCGAGGAGTTGGAGATGGAACCAGCCCAGGGGTGAGTTAGCAAGAGTTTTGAAGAAAATCCCATGTCTAAACTAAACGTTCAGTTATTAGAATCTTCATTTAGATATTTGCTTGAAAGAGAGTGCTGACTAAGGTATTACTGAGAGCTTAGTAAGTAAAGCCTCAACTTTTTTGTCTTTTTAATCTATGAAATTCACTCGTCAAATGGGCGGGAAGGGCCACTTGGTGTGACAAGTACACAAACAGGAGAAGGAAAAGTTTAATTTTATTTCAAGAGTACAGCAGAAAGCAGTTGTAGTACTAGATTTGATATTGAAGCCACAGCAACATTTTATTCATAACTTCAAAATCTTGAGTTGCCAAAATGTCCTCTTTGCTGTACCAGCCTAACATCATTGAATTTGAGGTTAGTTGGTATGGTCACATTTCCAAGTTGATAATTTCTCTTTTCCTCTTTCAGACGGCTAACCGTTCCTTCAGCTCAGAGGATCTAAACACTGAGATGTTGAATCTTGAGGGTCTGATGAAAGATTTGAATGCCATCACTGCCTCTGAACTGCAAAGCTAGAGAATAAGCTTTCCGTGTCCTGCCCTTGCTCCGCAACTGCTCCGCCCCCTTTTCCCTCCACATCTCAACCATTTGTAAATACTCACTTATCTTGTAACTTTTGTGAACTAATGCAAGAATTCTGGTTAAGACGCAGTCGTGTAAGTGACCATCATGTGGCAGTTTTTATAAGCTGGGTTATGATATTACCAATGCTGCGATTAGAGGTCACTCTCTCACGTAGTTTTGATGAGGTGATTAAGTTAATTGCACTGTTTTTAGGGCATGTTTTTTATATAACAGTGACTGTATTGCACCTGTAGCTTTTGTAAAAATTGTCAAAGGTCTCTGAGCTGGATGGACGAATGTGTAATCAGCAATATCAGATTATTGCCAAAACGTACTGTATAGAAGGCTAATAACGAGGGCACCTTACTGATGGTGTTTTTGTAATTGGTGATTATTTGTTGGATGTTCTTCACACAAACACACAAAAGTATTGCACAGAAAAATCACCAGACTAGGTTAGGGGGCAATTTTAAAAGATTATTGTACACCAATTTGGTTTTGGTGTATTTTTGATTAACTGAATATTATTGATCAGTTTGTTACAATTACTGTTACTTTTTTCTGACCACAATCTTCGTATATGAAAATGTCAGAATACTTTTTTCTGCAAGTGCTTTTAATCAGGGTATGCTTAGATGTCTAGGTATAAAAATATTGTGATAATGGTCCACTTTTGTCGAGTGCTTAACATTGCCCCGTAAATGGTGCTGTTTCGGAAAGGAACTAAACAGTGGTGTATTTATTTTTGTGTTGTAACCATTTTAACAAGTGAGGATAAATTGTACTTTTATTTGTGAATACAGAGGTGTATTTTCACAGGATTTGTTCGAGCTGTTTCTGAAGACAAACTGCTGTCCTGGCCCACATTTGTGACTGACTGTAGTTCTGTCACCAGCAAGGGACTTTCTCTTTCGATTTATAAAGGCGCACCCTCTTTTGACAAGATTGAAATTGCAAGGTGTTGGGGCAGTAACCTTTACAGTACTTGCCAAACTACAGTTCTGCTCAATACATTCAACAATTTAAATATTCTGTTGAGTGATAAAATAAGAAGATATTTACAAAAGAGTGGTTGCATTTATTCATTTTTTTGTTTTTAGAAAGATGGTGACACTACTGTACCTTTCAAATTGTTAGATATTGTTTCAGTGGATATTTATGAGAAATGAGTTTGACTGGGTGATCGTGCCCTTTGAATTTAAATGTAAATTGTATCTTGATTGCAAGTTTTCCTATTTTAGGGAGATAGTGCTGATTTCAAGCCACAAATGATAACTAGCCATTTTCCATTGAGCCTATGTGCATAATGTGTACTGTGTACAGAATGGATGCGTGAATATTTTGTAAAATGGCGCTGTCACATGGATGTGCATGTGATGTGTCATTACAAAGTGAAAGCAGCACTCTCTTTGAGAGCTAGAATGTCTGTATAGACTCGGTCATCGTAAGACAACACTCACTTTGAGAGCCAGAAGGTCTGAGTGGTTACAAAGCAGCACTCAAAGCTTTTACTTTGCTAGAACTCGATGGTCCTCATGTACTGCCCATTATTGGCACTGGTTTATACTTTGTTTACTTGAAACAGTTTTACTGGATTTATTAAATATAGAAATACCTCATTGCTTAGGCAATCTTTGTTTAGGTGGGCATCTTGTTTTGAAGAATGGAAATTAATTTCAGTCAATTTTCTTGAATTGTTTCCCTTTTAAATAAATACTGAAGGCTTAGGGGCAATATTAAAGAACTGTTATTCTTGGCTTTTTGACAGAAGTATTTGTTTTGAATATTAGTTCATGTACAGTTGCCTTTCAGTTGTCAGATCTTTTGTTCAAGAAATGGCTTAGTTTATCTAGCCAAATTGAGATATTTGTATTTACTCCCAAACTCTGAAAGTAGCCTGCTTGAATAGATCTTACTTGTTTTCCTTCCCAGCATTTCATCTATTTTTTATACTCCTAAATTATTGCCCTTTTTGTTTTAGTAACTTGTAATAGTGCATAAGTTATGGGTGTAAATTATAACGTCGGTGGCAGTTGGATTAAATTATTAAGCTGATTTGTTAATACAAATACTTGCAAGTACAGTCTCTATAGAAAACTGTAAAAGTACTCTAATCATTACTCATTTATTAACAGATTATTTCTCTCAAAACAGTTCAGTTGTTGTAAACCTTAAGTGTAATTTCTGTGCACCCCCTTGCTCTGGCGGTATCAGTACATTTGTCAAAGTTTATAACCCAGTTTTTACCAGCACAGTTTGATCATGAAGCTGACTTGGTATGTGTGGTTGCCCAGGCCATCAATTCATTTACAAACATCCATTAGTACATCCTAGCCAGACCAGGAGGGATTGCTTGTGTTGTTGCTATGCAAGTAACTGTTATGAATACAACTCCTTGTGATTTTTTGTTGAAGGTTTTATTCTGACATAGGTTAAAACAAACATTGAACTCTGACCCCAGATTGATGGCATGCCCCCACGTGAATTGTTTGCAGTACTCAGAGGGTTTTAAAGTTTATTTAGATAGTGAAAACCTCAGCTTAGATGATTTACAGCTCTTGGGGGAACCAGTACTAAAACAGAACGCATCTTGAATATCTAATGACAGAAACTAAAACAAAGTTTGTTCAAGAGCCTCTTTCATGAAAGGTAAACTACCTAGCAAATGACAAAGTTTCAAAGACCAAATTGTCACCGCTGTCAGAGATCAGAGTTCAATGTATGCCATTTGTTGTCTGTCAGAAAGCTGTAGTGGTAGGACACTAATACATAAATATGTACATGTTTATTTCATACTTAACTGAGTTTTTTAAGCTTGTAAATATTATTTGCTTATTTAAAATAAGTGCAAAGGCAACACACCCTATCACAATGCAGCATGCTCTGAATATGGTTATAATGCGGTTTTAAGGAAGTATGTAAACTTTTTTATAATTTGAAACTCAAATATCTTAGGCCATCTGTAACTGAATGACATGTTAGGAGTATGGGTTTGTTCCCTTTTTTTGGCAGAACTCTTAAGTTTTTCATTTTGTTTTGTGTTTCATTGTACTTAAAACAGTGTCTATGAAAATGCACCCTTATCTAGATTTAACTTACAAATAAGTACTATCCAACTGCAGCCAGTATACAACTTCTTCAAAGCTTGCTTTAGTCAAGATTTAAAAATATTGACACAAGACAGAGACATTGATAATCCAGAAGGCATGAGTTGGGATTACATACAAGTAGGAATGGAGATGCATGTTATTTTGCTGTGGTCATGGGGCACACCTTAAATTGATTAATTTATTTAGAAATATTCACAGAATACAGAAAGTTTCTCTTTAGCACCAGCAGGTTACCAGCCAAGGTATCATAATGAATATGACTTGTGGGTGATCTCCTGCAGAAGTGTTGCTTTCCCTATGTTTTCATTCATTCCTTTCTCCTTTTGAGGAGGGTAACTTCTGGCTTGAAATTGTTAGGTTCCATTATTGGGTAATGTTGCATACTTGTTTCTTTTATCTGTTGCTCTAAGTAGGCATCTTGATGTGTCCATTTTGCTCTTTCTTTCATCACAGTGATCTGCATCCTAGCCACCCCCCCCTTTCCCTAGCCATCTTTTTTATTCTTACCATCAACCGGGCAATAACTCTGATGGTAGCATAGGATTTCTGTTCAGAACTCAAGCTTTGATACTTCAGGGCTGTGTAGAGCCTCATACAAGTACAAAGTTGAGAATTACCAGATCTCTTTATAATAATGCAAAGGTTGATGAATGCACCACACCAAATTGGGCCTTATATCCTGACAATTCAATGGAAATTAAAAACTGCATTTTTGAAATGAATATCCATTTTATAAACCTTCTAAACATGTTAATTTTTGTCTATGAACTTTCAAGATTTAAACTAATTTTATAGTCCTAAATTACATGTCCTTAATTAATCATGTCAGCGTAATCGTGATTGTCATGACTGAATTAGTACACACGATGGTGTGAAACGACTAACTGGGGAACATATTCCATTGGTTTCATCTTGCATATGACAATTTGCTGTTGGTTTTGGTATTGATTCTGTGACCTTCTGATGTGATTGAGGTTAGGTCAGGGGGCAAAGTTTAATTTTGAAAGTGTCACTGTCTTTCCTGTGGAGTGTCATCTGAAGACAGATTTAAAGTGAGGACAATAATCCTACAGGTCAAGTTATTTTGAAAAGAAAGAATATTTTTACAGGAAGTTTTTGGAGGTGGGAGTAGAGCAGAGGGGAGTTTATCACTCATGCCAGAAAGTTTGTCTCTTTTAAGGTTGTATTGTCCATGCTCACACTGAAGATTGAAATCCATCATTGTTGATATTTGAAATGAAATGGTTGTTGCATGACAGAAGACTGGCCAAAAAACTACGTTCCCATTGTGATTGCATTGTGAATAATGCTAATTTTAGTTATAAAGAAAAAAGACTGGGGATTTTGCAAAATGAAAAATTTGAACAATCAGGACAGATGCAGTCTTTTGTTTTGCTCCTGTACAAACCTTGTGGTGTTTTAATGTATTGAAGAAATTGCACTTGGTTTGATATCGTTTTCATCTTGGAACGTCTTACAAGTAGATGATGTACTTTCTGTACTCCAGCATGGACAAGACATCCTTAAAAATAGCTACAAGCTGCAAATATATGACGTCAGCATTGCGCAGAATGCACCTGTTGAGAACTAATTGAAGCAAATTGTTCTTGTACATAAATACACACCAAGACTTGAAATATTGCATCACCTGCTTGTCATGCTGGGATCTGAATCACACTGTATGTACATAGAGATATCACTGTTGTATGGTACCGTGGGAGTAACTCGGCTTCTTCTGTATGTTCGGCTTGAGTGAGATTTCATTCTGTAGTAACGTGGCATAATTTTGACAATAAAAGAAGTTTTTTTGTAAAAAAGGAAGTTCCAATTTGCTATTCTTATTTCCAGCTAGCAAACGTTGTTGGGCGAAATTCGCCCATCCCAGTAACCGATTTTTGAGAGAATAGCGATCGGTCCCTTTAATGCACAAGTGTATGCTCAGAGTCGAGGTAATCGAATCATAGAGCAAGGACCCGTCAAATCAGTACATCTGGCGAATTCAACAAAAAAAATACGTGGACAACGTGCTGTGAACGACGCACCTGTACATTCTAGAAATTTCACAGAACGAAACCAAAAAGTTATCCGTTGGGGTCCGTCACGGTACGAAAAAGACGCACAAGAATTGGAACGGAAAGTCTTGCAAAAATACACACAGGTTTCGAGGTTTCAATATTTGTGCGTTTACAAATAATCAGCACTGTTGTAGTGTCCGTTTTACTTCCCTTTTCTCTTGTTTATCTTGTTTCTAACTTTTCACTTCCCCTATGTGCGAATGGAGCCGTCCAGCCTTGGTGGATACTTCAGTTGGGTCGTCCACCAATATTCCTTGGTATTTGCCGAGCGGTTCACGCTCGGGTGGCTGTGTGCTAGGAGGCTCTCTTTCGGTGCAAGGTGTAGCTTGTTCCTTTTCTCATCACCAAAATGGCGATTTTACCCTATTCCGCTAGTTTGGTGCTATATCTGTCAACATTTCTGCTGATTCTGGCTATATGTGAAGGACGTAAGTTTTTTCAAGTTTTGATACGTATTCTCAACTTATATTTTATATAACTTATATGGTTAAATCTACATGTTGCCGGGGTTTGCGCCCTTCGCACTCACGGTGACAAATTTTGTCCTTGGAGTTGCTAAGCAACGAAAATACACTGGTTTCAGCATATAAAATAAAATATTTAATGCTTTATCAAATTATGTTCTCCCACTTGATTTAAACTATTTTGGTTGTGCATTTATATTTTAGGAAAGAGTTCCGTATACGGACACAGCATGACACCCTGTGCACTAACCCAATGAGACTGGTCTGAAAAATTCTAAATGTTTTCTAAGTAAATGACTTTTTTCCCTCCTAAATTGAACTTTTCAGGACATGGTTTTGCTTTCTGATTGCTAACAGGTCGCTGTAGTCAATAATTACTGGCGTGCGTACATCAAAATCTTCCCCAGCTGGTTTTTGATAAAATTGCAGTTTAGCATGTTATCTGTCAAAGGACAGAAGCATCATAAAATTATATTGAAATGATTTGTAAAATTGTTGTTGCTGTCCATAAATGAAGAAAAGAAGCATGTACCTTTTTTTAAAGTGATCAGTTGTATGCTTCATGTCTCCAGTGCAGTGCAAGGTCAGACAGGTGGAGAGTCAGTCTTTGGCACTGCGACCTGGACCTCGAGACATCAAGATCACGTCGCGACTCTCTCAGGAATTTTTTTCTATCCTATAATTTAGTATAAATAATTTCAAGTGTATGTTGCGAATTGGTCATTTCTGAAGGGAGTTTTTGCTGGTGCCAAAATTAAGTCATCAAGGTGAGGAAAAAGTTGTCATATTAGTATGCTGTTTTGCCTGGGTCAGATATTATTCAAATGAACCAATTAGAGCCTGAAACTTGACATTTGTATTAGTTTAACAGGTTTTTCTTGAGTTCATGCTAAAATCATCCATAATACTCACACCCCATCTCTTAACTCTAGGGGATTCACTGAGCACTGCTGAGACAGCACTACGGCTGACCTAGTAGTAAAACAATATTCCTCAACTTACCACCCCCACGAAATTAAATGCTCCCCTTCAAGCACTTGTTCCTTCTTGAAAGGAATTTGAAGCACCTGTGGATGTCTTCAGCGGGTTGCAGTGGGTACATAGCTAGAAGAATCCTTGTTCAGTAGCAGGTTGGCATGTGGTTAGACTGACTTTATTTTCAGTAATTCAATTATTGCACACCCACATCAGGTGAGACTCTTGGGCTTATTTATGGGACCTGGACATGTAGTCTCCTCCAAACTAAAAAAAATTCCCTCCTTCACTAAATTAATTGAAAACACTGTAAGACACAAAAGGGGTTTGACCTCTTCAAATGTTCAAACCAAGTACATAAAGAAATTAAAACGCCAGTTAGAGATTGGAAAGACAAACATGAAATTTAGATTTTTCTTCTTCAAATCTCACACAGTATGGGAAGATTTGTCTATTTCTCTTCCAGTATTCTCCAAATCACTGCAGAGTGACAGGGAAAGACATCATTGACTTTCCAAGCATTCCTGATTTCCTTGCCCTCACATATATCTTTTCACATGGATTACGTTGGAATATGAAGCATAGATCCTGGTTAGCTGACCTTGTTTACAGCCCATGTTCTTTTTATGAGGTAGGATGAAGTAACCAATTGAACATCAAAGCCATTTGGTTTCGGTCAAGCTCAAATCTCATGCCATAAATCATGAGGAACAGGGTGAACATTTTCACATCATGCATACCACAGAAGCCAGTATTGTGGACAAAGCTTTCCAAGTGAAGTACGGGTAGCCTTAATAGGAAAACCACTTATGTGGTGAAGCATAGAAGTTTCCTTCCTCTGCGATTGAAATAGCTCAGATCAAACTTTTGGCATATTGTAGCACATCTTTTGAGTCCTTAAGAAAAGTAAGGGCTATTCTGTTTCAAACATCTGACTGATAAACCAACCCCATTACTACTATGTCACCTTTCCTAACTTTGCCAAATGCAAGTATGATGCTTAATTGCACTGGCTTCCAGAAGTTTCCAGAAGAAAGTCATCATTAACATGCCTATCGAGGCTTTTCCAATACTACATTGATATTTACTCATACACAGTTGTTCCAGTCGTAAACGTTTCCGTATTTCAGGAAGTGTCTGAAGCACATGGTTTTGTAATAAACCAGCTTGACAGGTCTGGAGGGACACATGCTCACTAGAATAGCATCCAACTAAGACTTGGACTTCAATGCAAGTCCAACAGCACTGTATTAAATCTAATTTATAGGCAGCAGGTATATCTCCATCCTGTTTTCCTTCCATTTCCAGGCTAGACTAACATGTACCACCTCCTGTTGTGTACGAGCTTGACCTTGGATCACATATTCGACACTTGGTTTAGTTTCCGGCAATATTTGTAGCTACATCATTCAGGGGGCTCAAGCTGTCATAACCCACTGACTGGGGTGAATAACAAAGTCACTGTTGTGGTAGGCTGTGTGACAGGTTGCAGACACCATGACATAGATGTGAATTAAGTAGAATGTCAAGAATCCGACAAATGTTGAGGTTTCAGGTCTGGTTAACTGACATAAACTGCCCGATATGCTGGTCTTTTGTAGGAACATTGAAACAGACATTTCAGGGCCCATTTTTTAGTTTGATTAAAAATAGGTGAATATATTTTTATTTTAGGGGTTGTCACTGACAGTATACATGTTTGTCCTTTAGTGAATATAAACTTTTAATCCCTATGAAGACTGACACTATTTTGAATTAAGTCAAGAAATGAATTACTTTGGACACCCATGAATCTTGTGACAGTGGCAACCTCAATTCTGTTAGGTGGACAGTCACTCTAAAATCGGAAAAACTATTGTCCGCTCTCAGGTGTGTCACTGTTTCTGTTCTTGGTATGTCACCCTGCCTGTTCTCTGGTATGTCAGTATTTTTTGAATGGTGTTTCTTTTCTTTTCAATGTCTCATGTTATCTTCCCTGACAAGTACTTTATACCATTTAGCTTTCCTGTAGCAGACAAAGTTGGACAAGAATAATTGACTGTCACCTCAAAGATTATATCTACACCCTCTCATTCTCTCTTCCTCACACCGACCTTTTTCCCAGCTGGTCTTTACACCATACACTTGCACTGAATTTGTTTGTTTTGTTTTCGTAGGACCACAGCCCCCAGAGTTCACCAGTTCCTTCACATCGCCAACTAGTATCAGAGTGGAGTGGGACGACCCAATCCTTGACCCTGGAGCCGTGGTCAGAGGTTACCGCATACAGTACAAGCTGGGCCAAAATGGCAAACTGATCAAACTGAAGTTGAATGCCCGTGTTGGCAACTCCTATGATATTGATGGTATGTAAAAGATTGCAGTCCTTTGCATCAGTTGCAAATAAGCATGTCTAGATCAACAACAGAGCTACATGTAGTTTCAATTTACTGATTCTCAAAAATGAAGCTTTCATTACATTCATTGGCCATTTACTTTCCAAATAACATTATCAAAAAAATTATTCAGAAATATAGTAGTTGTGGGGAACTTGTGATACAAAGTAATTAAAGATTTGTATGCTTTCTTTATGATGCAAGTGTCAAGGTCTCGCTTTAATGTAATTATGGAGGTGGCTATATAAACCTTCCAATTCCCTACTAGATATGATCAGACTCCGTTGGGCTAAAATTTGGAGGGATGGTTGAAGCACCATCAGTGAATCTCAGTGATTGGTAAATGTAACTAATGTTGCCTCCATGTTTTTCTGTGGACAGGATTGACCGAGTCATGTGGGGATTATTTAATCCGTATGTCTACGGCTTCTTCCAAAGGCTTGAGTCGTTACAGCAGCTTCAATCAAGTTGACAGTAAGTGTTTACTGGGGATAGTGCTCAAATATTTGATTAGTTTTGGCACATTTTACTGTTTCTCTAAACTCATCTTCTTTAACCTTAGTTTAGAAGTTTTAAACCTCGTTACTTCTTGTTTAAATTTGTTTTTTGTTGTTTTTGAGTGTCTAGAAGAATTAATGCCTTTTTAATATCTTGATCCCCAAACCCTTTGGCCAAAAAGGATTACTTTCTGGTCCACAAAATCTCAATGCCATCCCGTCCAGCACATCAGCAAGAGTCACCTGGTCCCCTCCATCCAACGGCTTCTGCATCACCGGTTACCAGCTGAAATACGGCCCCAATGAGAATGAGCTGCAGTCGATGGACCTTCCCACTGAACTGAACCAGTATTTACTGTCAGATCTGCTGCCGGGTACCAGTTACATTTTGACTCTAGCAGCCGTTGCCAATGGGGAAATTAGTGAAGAGGCTTACTTCCAGTGGTATCAAGGTAACCAGCATAATAATCAACCTCCTCACTCTTCCCCCCACATACACAGCTCCACCCACCCCTTGTTCAGATTTATGGATATCCCTGATCTGTCTTTGGCCTGATTGGAGGCTAAGTCTTGTAAAATTGAAGTTGAAAAAAAAAAGTCCATTTGACTGACTATACAACGGTAAATTTACTAAGTTCTGTTACACATTTAGGCCTACATTAAGATTGAAAACAGGTATACAATAAACATGTTTAGGAATTGAGCTTGTAGATGCAGGTGTTGCAGAGAAATACGTCATAAATATAAAGAACAGATTGACAAAAAATAAAGGACACACAAAATGACTGGCTGATAAAAAGATTGAGAGGAATGCATAAAGAGATGACTAGGCAACTTGTGATGTAACAAAGAAATCAATAAAACAAACAGATGGAAACAACTACAGTTTTAGAGCTATAAGAACAAGAATTTCACCAAAGAGAATGCAAGGGCCTCAAATTTGGCAAGAAGCATTTCATTTTGATGGGGTTATTGTACCTGATCTCTGTAAGACTAGGTTTCCAGAGTCGTTGGTGTCAAGTTACAAAGCGATACTTCCCTCTTTGGTTTGGTTGCATGTGGTGGAGGTCACACATCTGGTGTGAGGAATTTTTCCATTAAGTTTCTTTCTTTGTCTTTGAGGCTGAAACTAATGTCTAGACAGCCAATCATTGACAGAAATAAGTCTTTTTCATTAGAGAAAGGATATTGACCAGAGCAGATGATCATGTGTAGCACATATTCACAAATTTGTGCAGGGTTGTTTTGATGTTATGTTAGCAGGGTTAGTGGGGAGCCCCGACTTCCTGAGTTTTCCCCTAGACAAGGAATGAATGCGGTCTTCATGTTGCTGGTTGAATGAGTCTCACCCCATGGGAGTTGGTTTGGTTGTAGAATTTTTGACATGTTTGCCAAACAAGATATGCTGAAATAAAAAATTGTGTTTAAATATTTTGGATAAAAGTTTTTCAAAGTCATTTATGGAATTTTGTTTTTACAATTCCATTTACATCAGTACTGATTTGCTGATTTTCAAAAAAGTAGCATACAGCCAGTTTAATGTTTTTTTCTCCCTTGATATACTATTTGTGTAATTGTTGTACCCCTACAGCCGGACCCCCTAGTGCACCAGCTAACCTAAAAGCTACCCCATCAACCACTGAGACTGCTGTTGTTATGTGGAGTCCTACTTCCTCTAGTGTAACTCGCTATGAGTACCTTTATGGTCCCATGGGATATTCAGACAGTGAGGTGACTGCTGGCTATGTGGGGCCTAGCACCACATTGGTTGAGCTGAGTAGTCTGACACCAGGAGAGGAATACGTGTTCAAGGTCGCATCTGTCAATAGTGTAGGACAGAGTGAACCTGTTACAGTGACATGGACCCAGCCTGCTCCGCCACCTGTAGGTATGTTATTAAGATTCACCTATCCACTTTATACCCTGCATTACTGTTTCTTGCTCGGTGATAACATGAAACAAGCATTCACAAGTTCACTGTTGTACAGTCATTTGCAAATGCTGAGGACCACCCATGCAAAATGCATTAACCTGACGAAAAATCAAACTTAAACCAATCAATCATGGCAAATTATGTTTAATTTCAATGTGTAACCTTAGTTTAGTTTCTTGGCTAAACAGCTATTTGACTACAATTCCATGATTTGAAATGTTAACAGCCTGATATTTAGTTTGTCCTCCTTTATTTCTGATTGCTAAGACTGGCTTTTTTTTACCCATGCTGCCTTACAGACAAAATAAAATGTCTTACAAGACCTGCCTTTGCAAAAAAATTTATTCCAATGAGTATGTAGCACTACACTGATGTTACACACCACTGTAAAAACATGTTCAAGTAATCATTCAATGAGACAATTTACCAATAAACTTCCGGGTGGTCTTAAACTTTTGCAAATTACCGTAGTGTCAAAACTCTAAAGGATTTGAGTCTGCCACTACAGAATTGGATGGCTTGCATGTACGCCCAACTTAAAATCTTTGCACTAATTAAACAAGATGTAAGGTATCTTAGTAGTCTTTGAAGAAGGAATTTTTGATACTGGTTGTGTTTGATCTATCTTTACAGTTGTTCCTAGCAAGCCTATTCCTGCTGCTCCTGGCCAAGTCGATATAGAAATCACATCAGCCGAAACAGCCCTGATCACCTGGACAAGGCCTGAGGGGGATGTAGAGATCACTGGCTACATTGTGGGCTTTGGCCTAGCTGGATCAGATGCCAGTGAGCTGACATTGTTCAGTGTGGGTCCTGATGATACAGAGGAAGAGTTGGATCAGTTGAAGCCTGGCTCAGACTATATGGTCACTATACAAGCCTACAATGATGTAGGAGATGGAGAGATACTAGCTGCAGACTGGCATCAGGAAGCACCGTCAGTACCACTGAGTAAGCTGCCTAACATACCCATGATGTACTCTGTATTTGCACACTGTATGCAGGCCTTTAAAGGACCAAAAAAAAAGGCTGGCCAGAGCATTGCTCACAAAATGCATGCACATGCAAAAATGCAGCAACTAAGCTTGGCTTGCCTGTCGCACAGCATCGTGGGATAGCACTGCACTGCAGAGCCAGCACATATAGTTATATCTAGGGGATCTGTATTTGCATCAATATTATTTAGGATCAATTTACCATTTAATCCATCACTGTGAAGGGAATGTAGGAAAGATGACCCCAATTAACTGATCTTCATAATGATGTCAACATCACCAGAGGCTGGGGTTGTTTCAATAGATTGAGGTCATTCATGGTAACTTCTGAAATTATTTTGTGTGGATTTAGGATGAAAAATGTCCAACTTTTACCCAAGCAGCAACTGTCGTATCCCAACAGGTGGAGTTTCAGAGCTAAATTTCCTTCACAGTGTTTTCCTCTCCACCGTCAAGCGGAATCTTTGGGTTCTTCCCCAGGCATTCCATCCCCACCCCAGGGGGTCTTGAGCTACAGCCCCTCCCCTAACACCATCATTGTTAGGTGGATAATTACAGAGGAGGATGCAGCTGAGCAGATAGAAGGGTACCGTGTCACTTATGGTCAAGATGTTTCAGCCAGCGACAGCAGCGTGGAAGTAGGACCTCTAGAAGAATCCATTGAGATACAGAGTCTGCAACCAGACACATTCTACTACATAAAGGTGCACAAGTTCAATGCCGCTGGACGTGGTGAATCCGTATCCAGGAGCTTACAGACATTGCGTAAGCCTTTCAGCAGCCTGTCTTTTGATCCAAAATATAGAAAGTTCCCAAGATATTTGAGATTGTAACTCCAAATACAGTTTGGTGATAGGACATAATAATTTGCAGAAAGCAAGGAATATATTAAAGGCATTGATGGTACATCTACAGTAGTGCTTACACGTAATTTACTTATTAGTGGGCATTCATCAACTGTCCCACATGTTGGGGAAAGATTTTTTTTTTGCTGCCTTGTAATTTCTGGAAAAAACTTTCAGGTCCCTTCCAACTCTGCCATCAAATCAAACTCAGCAATTAAATTAAAGCTTATGTAGTGGTGCATCTTGAATGTTCATGGTTCCCTTTTTTGTAGTTCACACCTCCTAGTTCTAATGATGCTTATTTGTTGCAAACTAAACTTACCAGGTTTTTTTTGTTTTTGTTTTTTGTTTTTGTTTTTTCTTTCTTTTCAGCTCCTCCCCCAGGTAAGTCACATCTGCTTTCAGCTTAGTTCATTGTAAGTAATGTTTGTCTTTCTGTGCCATCTGCATTGTGTCTTGCATTGCGCATTTTGTAATTTAACAATTCATTAGAATTTCAGCCATGAATTTTATCAGAAATTCAGAAGAGATTTGCATTACTTTTTGCTCTAGAAGCCAAAAGGTGCATAAATAAACTCTGAAACACCACACCATGCCTAACATCACAAAATCTAAAGATTCCTCAAAGTACAAATTGTGCTCTAGTTCTCAAGGCATAAGGATATGGTAAATTTTTGAGGCTTAGGAACTTTTCAGAGAATTAAAGTTCCTGTTATTTTGTACAGACTGAAAAACCTATTTGCAGGTAAGTCAGGGTGACATTTGAACTGTCATCAAATAGAGAGAGAGCAATAGTTTCAATTAATCTGTTTAAATGTTGTCATGTATACCTGTACTTTAAGCACAAGTTATGCCGGCCCTCCTCCATCCCTGTAACTACCAACTAAAGAAATCTGAAGCATTTGAGACACCAGCAATGCCCAATGTTTACATGCAGAAGAGCGTTGTGCTCAGCAACAGCAGTGCATCCGACAGTTTAATGTGTCTCGTTCCCGTGGTGATGGAGCGATCTGCCCTCAAATTCTCCAATACCTCAACTGTCTTCAGCGACTGCAGGATGCCTGCATTGAAGATACTGGCTACCGCAACCGGGTCAATGGCATCCGCAACATGTTCCTGATGGAAAGTTGCAATCGAAACTCTGGTAGAACCCCAGAAACCGGTTCCCCAGGACCGGTACGAGTGCCAGGTAGCATTCCCGCACCCCTGTCCTTCCCTGTGACATGTCCCCCTTGTTGATGCTACCGATGTTAAGAGCATTCTTTTACTGGTTTTTACATAGAGGGTTCCTGGTTGATATCGTGGTGCCTTCATTGGCACATGCTAGGAGTTGTCAGGTGTGAGGGATTGAAATCGGTCATATCAATCCAGTGTGTTTGTTAGCAATTGCTGAAAATGCTTGATGATAAAGCAACCACAACAAGCTATGATCTGAAGATTTGCATCTTGTTGGCTGGATATCTGCATGAGTTTGTACCTAGATTACTATAACCACGCAGCTTTCAATACCAGCTTGAGATGCATGTGTGGATATTTCCTAAGCTTGAAGAGTGGGAACCCTCTATCTGAATGGCTTCATTGGCAAACCATTAGGCTTGGCTGTAAATGATTCAGGTTAAATTTGTTGCACTAGCTGTACTTTGCACGTTAGCCGTTTAATATGGTTTTGTTTCACTATTTCAATATTTTACAATCAAACTTGATGGGTAACAGGGTATACCACTGATCAGCTGAAGTTAAACCTACTGCTTCCTAGCTGAAGTTGAACCTACTGCTTTCTAGCTGAAGTTGAACCTACTGCTTCCTGTATGTGTTAACTACATGTAGCAGTGTTCATATTGGTTCCAAATTTGTCCAACTTGTTTGTAGTGTCAGCAGTGTTCATATTGGTTCCAAATTTGTCCAACTTGTTTGTAGTGTCAGCAGTGTTCATATTGGTTCCAAATTTGTCCAACTTGTTTGTAGTGTCAGCACAGCGCATTTGGGGTCAAGCTGCCGTGGCGTTTATGCCCAGCTCCCTTGTCCAGAAATTTGACCGTTCCCTTTGTGCTTATGCAGGCTTTCACAGCCATGGCTACTTGAGCATTGTTTGTACCTGTGACTGCATTCCTGTGTTGGCCTTCTTTGTTCTGCTCGGTAGTTACAGAATAATCAGTACATTGAAACAGACTGTGTTAGATGCTATTTGAGGAATTAATATCTAACTTGCACTTTGTACCAAACAACAGTGGCATGCTTCTGCCACTATTCAGTTTCAACTTCAGAGAGTGTGGCTGGCATGACATTCCAGTTTTCTTCATACTGCTTGAGGCTAACTTCTTTCAATGTATGTGCATCCCGTGTGAGAAAAAAATCCCTTCCCATATTAACCGTATGAAAGGAAGAATTAGCCCCTTTAAGTCTGCCTAATTATTTGGTAGATTTGGAGGTTGTCTGTAGGCTTGTTCCTTTTCACACATTCTGTGAAATTCTGTCCTGTTTCATGCAATCTGCCCTTGTTGATGTCTGTTGTGCGCAAACTCTGTAGCATTCTTGTTTTTCTAGTATTGTTACTAAAACACATCCCCAGGCCCTTTTTTAAGAATTATCCATCAGTTTCATAGATGATGTATACTGATCATGTCCTCTGATTAGATAGCCTTGTTTGTCAGTTGTAAAAGTTTGTTTCATGATAAAGTTGATATTGGCTTGTCCTGACCCCATTAGTCCAGTGTGTCATGTCTCATCATAGATTAGACATTCCATACACCTGCCAAGTTGTTATACCCACCCTCTGGTTGTAGCCTAAAGGCTGATGAAGTCTTGTATGAGGATTGTTGGTATCTATGTGGGTCTGATGTCTCTTCTGTGATGCTGTCCATTTTTTGAGATGTTTCCTTCAGTGACGTGTTAATTAAATGTTTTGTTAAACTTCAACATGTGTGCCACTTCAGTCTTTAAATGGAGGTAAAAAACTCTGTTACTAGCTCAAAATGCATGGGAAACAAGCGCTTGATACATTTGCCGTGTAATGGATGTGTGAGCATGTGTTTGTTTCTCTTTCCGTTAAGTGGCATGTTAGTCACAGGACAAGGAGCTTTGACTATTTATGAGTTACCAAGATTTGAGAATTTTGTTTCAATATCTTCAGGGGGTTTTGGTGCGACTCCATCGGATATCATTCCTGAAGGCAGGTCTTTTCATCTTTTGAAGTCTGCATGGCAGTCTCTTCTCCTTAAAAAAAAAGGAAAATTGCGGGCCAAATTTCCCAAGCAAAGCAAACATCTAATAGTTGTATGCCAATGCTTTCAAGTTGTAGTGAAATGTAGTGTGTTGATTCATTAACAGAGGATGCAATGCAATAAGTCTCTACTGATGGTTCCTATACTGAGGCCTGTGTATTGATGAAGATGCTAAAGTAAAGATGTTATCATCCAAAATAAACTTTTGAAATGGACTGTTTTTTATCTCACTGGTGTTTAAGTGGTACAGCGTTCTACTTGCAACTTGAATGACACCACTAGGCCTATGGTTAATACACATTTTTGTAACAAATACGGATAGTAACTTGAAGATGATACATTCAGTGAGAGTGAAATATATTCACTTGACTTCGGTAATTATGATAAAGCAGTGATATTCAGGTATATACAGTGATTTCCATGATTGTTGAGACAATTTTAACGTTTATCATCAGAATAAATTGTGTTCTTTTAGTGTAGCTATTTGAAACAAGGATCGAAGCCTACTGATGATACTAAATGATCTGAGCTTTTTCTTACTATTGTATAGAGGTTATTCCACCACCTTCACAGTTATCAGCAACAGTGCTTTCCTCAACATCAGCACTCCTATCTTGGTATGATGAGACTCTCGAATCTTCCCAAGTTGTCACTGATAGTCGCTTCTACAATGTTGTGTATCGCACCCCACTTAACCAAGGGTAAGTCGGACAAAATTGTAATCCAATGAACAGTAAGTCGTTCAAAAGCCAGCCATAAATGGATGAACAACATTGTTGTGTAATTTAACAGAATTCCTTTGTCATAGCTTGTTTGAAAAGCTTGTGACCTGACTTGAAATGGGATAATTTATGATTGACTCGATCACAACCTTGGCTTAGTCATTTTTGTTGCAATGAGGACCAATATTTGTTTGGGTTTCCTGCAAGTAGTAAAGTTTTACTATCGGTACTTTCATGTGCGGACTTTTTTTTTTCATTTCTGAACCTCAGCTATTTAGAGGAACGGACCTCTGAAACCAACTATGTGGTGGATTTCCTGCTACCTGGTGTACCATTTGAGTTTTCTGTCCAGCTGGTCTTGGACCACCAACAAAGAAGTGAAATGAGCGAAACAATAACTGTCACTTCCAGGGATCCAGGTTTGTTTGATCTTGTATTCAAAGAGGGGTAGAGATGATTCTAAACACCAAAGGGGGAGGATGAGGTTTGACATTGTCAAACCAGGAGAATGACAATGATCTGGCACTGAAAATTAAGGTCAGACTTTTTAAAGCCTGTAATATTCCTTCTCTTTGTAGAACGAGGCGCAAGGCCCGAGAGATTCTCCGTTACCCAGGTGACTGTGACAGGTCCAACTTCAGCCAAAGTGATACTGAACTGGCTTCCTCCACCAGAGAGGACGGATGTCATGCGTAAGTCCCAACATAAGCATGGGTTTCTCACAGGATTCCCAAACAGCTCCTAACCTGCAGGGCTAGAAGCAAAGTTGTTGGGGCAGATTTTACTTGTTTCAGTGCTTGACTTCAGGATTGTGATGTACAAGGTTCATTTCGTAATTGCAATGGCTTTTGTGGGTTTAAAATCCCAAAACTGCACGCAATGACTCTGTTGCTCGTAGTTGACATGACTGTCGAGGGAAGTCGACTTCATTTCAAGTACATTGTGCCTTTTTTTCAGTGTCAAATTCAGGAATATAATTTTGTGCTTGAAAGAATAGGAAACATTTCACTGCTTTAAACTCAACTCAAAATTTGCTGTGCTCTGCAGAATACAAGATAGAGTATACAGACTCTGAAGAATTCCTTGACCCAGCAACCACTTGGGACAGCTTGACCGTAGATGGATCTGAGATCACCGCTTCCTTGGAAGGCTTAGCGACTGACCGGGAATATCATGTCAGGATTACGGCCATATTCAGCCCTACAGATATTGGACCAACCTTGGTTACACCAGCAACCTTTGCCACTCCCGCGGTTCCCCGTCTGGTAAATATAAAGACAAGAAAACTGTACAGTGGCATAGCAAGGGGAAGAAGAGCAAACCCCCTGCGCCCCCACTCCCTAAAACCCCGTCATTTGTCACTTGCCAAGGATATGTCTTTAAAATTAGGTTGTCAATGAAACAAGAAAGGAATGAAGTTTACGAGCTAGAACTTAATTTTATCCCTTTCATCCCCTTTTTAATGAACAGTGATTGCAGTTGCAGCATTGAGAGGTCCAGCCCCCCCCCCAACATTTCCTATTTTGGGATCAAGTCACCCTTTGTACCCCTCATATTGTGCTGGTGCCTCTGCGGGCCCCCAACTGACAAAACCTTCGGCTAGGTGGTGGGGAATTGCTGACGGAGTTTCAGTTATAGGTGGTTAGTCGTAAGCATTCTTTGGGTATTTAGCTGAAATTATGAAAATAAATGGAAGAAATTATTTTTTAATTGTATTCAGCTAAAGCCTCTAAGCAGTGTGATGAAACAGAGCTAGATGCAGTGAGACGTCGAGTCAACTTCTTGTGGGAAGGTGTCACCGATGGTGTACAGCGCTCTCCATTGTTCGGTGTGCCAATTCCATATTGTGATGATGAGTTTGGTGTGGAAGAATGCCATGGCCTCTTGTGAGTATGAGTTCATTGACAACCAGCAGAGAAATATCAGTTCTTATTGGATAAGGTGTATGTATCTTTGAGTAAGATGCTCCCTAATTTGGTTTTTTTTTCCAGTATCGAGGTAGTGGCTTCCTGTTTAAAGCAGAGATGATGGTCGTGATTGATTTTACAGTTTATAGCTGAAATGATGGAATTGAATGTCTGCAGAATTGAACTGATTTGAATTTGTCATCATTCAGAGTTGATTGTCATGATTTCTGATTTGTTTTTCTTTCATTTATCAGCTGTTTCTGTATTCCTGGGAAGAAGCCTCCAGTATTGAGGGAGCCCCATTGCTGTAAGTCAGCATCCAATCAATGAAATTATATTAAAGTTGCCAGGTTTCTGAATTATTTCTACTTCTGTCCCATAATAAGCCCACATATCATGATATTAATGGAATTACTTGGCCACTGAGCAAAATGTTAAATGAATTATCCAAGAAGAAAAGGGTACTTAAGATTTTTAAATGTTTGCAATGGCAAGCCTCAAAATGCTCCAAACTTTCTGTAGATACCTTGACTTTCTTGACAATTAGTCATAGAGGTTGTACCATCATACAGGCATGTACCACATTGTTATGGTGATTTCAGTTAGGTTTTTCAGGTAACTTCTCCCACAGTCCAAATGTCAAGCCCTCTAACTTTTTCAGACTTTGGTTTCTGAAGGCTCCTGTGTTTTCTTTAAAAGTACCCCATTCTCTCTGTGTTTGGATTGACTTGTTTCAGCTGCCAATGACCCACCATGCCATCGTGAATACAACGCAGCACGCCAAGCTCTCCATGAAGCTCGACTGAAAGGACAACCAGCTATGGCTGCTCAGCTTCCCCATTGCCGTAGTGATGGCTACTACTATCCTAAACAGTGCTCTGGAACCATGTAAGAGTCACCCCTCCTATTAAGTTCTAAGCCCCTCCCCGTATCCATCCCTTATTGTTATTCAACCAAAGCAATGCCCTGAACTATTCTTATCAAAAGCAGTTGAATCTTCATGTTGATTTTACTATTGTACTGCCAGATTATAGTGACATTCTTGCAAAGAGAATGAGGAATATCTGTTGGACATTAATTTGAAGAAATAATCTGCTATCTTTATTCCTGGGGCCAATTTCATAGAGCTGCTCAAGTACAAACTATGCAGGGAAAAAATTTTGCTTAATAAACAAAGGTTACCAGCTAAAACTCTATCTGATTGTTATGCTAACAAAAAAAAAACAGCTAAATACAATCCCAGAACAATATACATGTACATCACACTGAGTTTTGGTTGGTTACCTGATTTATCGAGTAAGGTTTTCTTGCGCTCAAGCAAATTTTGTTCTTAAGTAGCTCTATGAAATTGGCCCAAGCTTGTCCTTTGTGAGTAAAGGGTATGCCTAGCTAGATTTGTATCAATGTACTTGTTTAGGTGTTACTGTGTGACTGAGAATGGAGTTCACACTGGCCAAGAGGTGCCCATGTGGAATGCTCCTACACTCTATTGTGGTAAGTTCAATTCTCATCAGGTCTCTACAAAGTCTGTTTGTTGCTATGCAACAGACTATATGTAAATTTCAATTGAATGTACACAATCATTACATCATTGCATAAAGGGTTGTGTGCCCGAGTAGTCACATGACAGATGTGACACTGTAGTGTCTGTATAGACAGGTTTTTTTCTTTTTTTTTCATTTCTAAGCATGTGAGAGATACATGCAATCTTACTGGGTTGGTCTTTTCATTATAATGTCATTCATCCACATTATAAGCAGAGTGTATGTATTTTTGAATGCCTTTAGCACACAGGAATCTTTGAATCAGTTGTTCTGATAAATGCTCAGTTAACATTTTTTTGGGTTTGAATATTGCAGAGTAACATCTTGCCAGCTAGTCTCTAATGCCACCTGTGGATCTAAATCTGAGATCCATGTTCTCTTGACAGTTGTCACTTGACCAGCTTGAGCCCTGCAGGTAGACGTACATGTACTTATAACTAAGCTATCGCTTTTTTTTCAGCTTTAAGTGAAGGTTTTACGGGCATGTCATCAGTTGTTTTCTTCATGGTTTTCAAAACATGAAGGAATTTCACTACAATTTCACTAGCAAATTAATGTCTTCTTTAACAACCCTATGATGAAAAACAAGGTGTGTTCTCACAAAAAAATGGATCAATTTTGACCGGTGTAATGTTAGTTTCAATTATTTAGTCTGTGACTAACCTACTTTATCCCACTTTTGTCCTTACATATTTGTTAGAGATGCTGTATCTGTAGATTTATATTACAAATGGTGCTACTTTTGTAAAAACAAAAGACAAGACCAAAATATACTTTGATGTCTCGATAAAACAGAATCTTGCCAATAACTTTTTGATTACTCGAAGGTCATATTCTGCCTATACAGTTTAGTAACAAGTGGTTTTCTATATTTCAAGAACAGAAC